TATATATCTTACAATCCATTTAATTCATGTACAATTATTTTATAATTTACATGTAATACATTTTTTTTGTTATTTTTGTATTTAGAATTTTAGATATAATTTTTAGAATTTTAGTATAAAAGAATATTATGTATATAATTTTTGGCCACAGAATACAGCAACTGACCAATCATAATGAAGTATTCCAGAGGCCCTTGTAATTAATTGTTAAAATTAAGCAAATAAGCCTGTGTGTGTGTTTATCCATATACAGGGTTCTTAGAAAGTGTTTCCGTTTATTCCAGTTCTGTTTGTGTTTTTAAGACTATTAAGCATTCTTAAGCTGTACGGCACACAGAAGAAGATTTACAAGCCGCCCGCTCAAGGATCAGTTTCAGGTCATTAGTGGAGTGTTGCTAAGTGGCCGGTTTCAAATTAATAGCGCCTAACAATAGATTGCGCCGCTCTGAATGAGCAAAAGCACCGTCCCTGACCAACGCAGACAATTAGACAATGAACATTTACCAAAAAAAAACCTATATTTACCCATGGTGCATAAGCCTCACCCTTGAAAACCGATGCTATTCAGGACTGTAAACAATGTCAGCGGGTCTTTCTGTGAGGTAAGTCGTTATTTATAATGCACTCTTATCAGAGGTTGTTATTTTCGACCCACAGGTGAAAACAATAGCCTGGAGATGTACGGCGCAAGAGGTCATTTAAACGTTTAGTGTTTGTTTTTATTATGTATTTGTGCGGCGGTAAGAGTCGTCTGGCAGGATGCCATCAGCGGGCAATTGTTTTGGGTCGTGTGTGTGTGTGTGTGTGTGTGTGTGTGAGAGATGGGAAATGGCAAAAGGCACCAGGCCATGGTCGAGTAGCACATATACTGTAGTCTAGTTTTAGACGCTGCCACCCATTTAGCAGCTGCACTGCCTGATTGGCTGGATGGTGTACTGTGTGGTGAATATGCATTTGCACATGCTTTGGGAGCTAATATTATTGGTATCAAGGTGCAACTGTATGATTTTGTAAACCAGATTTCCGTATGTATGATAGTTATTAAAGAACAAAGAATCTTGAAGTGAATTATGAGTTTGAGAATCTTAAAAATAGTCAATTCGCATACATTTAGAATAATGTCACTAAAACATCTGTTAAATGCTGTTCTAACATATAAACAACGTCATATAAATGTTTGGTTGAAGTATGTGTGCTACCAGAGAGAATGTTCCAGTAACTGCATGCTGACTTATGTTATCTTTAAAAGGCCAGAGAGATCGTTTGACAAGTAGAGTTTTCGCGCGCACACATTAGGATAGGTTAGATGCCTGCCTCCGCTGCGAGTCCCTATCAAGCCTCCTGCCTGGCTCTTTGGCCAGCATCATTCACCGAAGAGCAAGCCTGTTCTTGATAAATCTGCTGTGAAAACGTGGGAAAAGCCGACGAGAAGAAGTTGGAGTGAAGCGATCTTTATGAAGCAAAGTACTTCATCGCTCCATCTATAGCGCATTGTGATTGGATGGTTTACGCTGTCAATATAGGAGACAAACCAATGGGCCACTGGCTGCTCGCTGTTCCTCCGTGATGGTCCTTGGCAAAAAAAAAAAACATTCTGTCGGCCCCTTAAGTGCGTCGGCCCACCGGGAAAATGCCCGGTATGCCCGATTACCAATCCAGCCCTGGTTATGTTACAACTGAGAACATGATTTTCTTCATGCTTATTGTAGAATCATGAGGTGGTCCTTTTTAATTATTAGGAGCATTTGATTTGTTGAAAATCGCTGTAGTGCAGGATGAGTCATCAGTACTTTTCATCAGTTTTCCTTGGACAGAAAAAGAGAAAAAAATGCTAAATATATTTACATTTCTATTATTAGAAACTATTTCTATGATTTAATACTCTGAAACACTCAATTAAGATTGGTCAGTTGTATTTAATATATTATTTATAATTATTTGATTTAATATTTTTATAAATGTAATGCATAATAAAATTATACATATATTTATTTATATATAATGTTTTTACTTGCATATGGTATTAACTGTATTTAAATCTTAAATGTATATTATAATATATTGTATTATACATGTAGTTATTAAAATATAATGCATATTATAATGATATAGTACATATTATAGATGTATCTGTTCAAATTAATTTTTTATGTAAATTAATATTTCAGTCCAATGATCCAGTAAGAGAATGTATTCAAACAATCCGTCCAAAACAGCGCTAATATAAAGGAAACCAGGCTGATTACATCAGAGATTGCAGAGAGAACAGAAGACTCGCGTTGCGTTTTGTGTTTCGCTTTTAAACATGATCTCTGTCATATTCTGTGATTGTCTCTGAAGAGCGCGAGCCCTCGTACGTCACGCGCGCTGTGTGAAGTACAGTCTGAACGGGTTGTCAACACATCCCACCGCTGTATGGCCAGATGAGACGCAAACTACATTTTCTCGACTGGATAACCAGTCTCGCTAGTAAAGTTTTGATGGATGAAGACTGCAATCAAGGTAAAGACGATTGCGGTGGCGTACAGTAGTCGTACAGTAAGCACGCGTGAGTCCGTTATAATAATGCGTGTATGAGTGCACTTGACGCACTGATCACACATTGTATTTATGCACAGGCACAGACATTTCTGTACATTCACGTTGTTTCCACACACATTCATGATAATGTTTTGATTTGTCATGTTTATGTTGCTGTGTTTAGTTATTCTGAATGGATCCGTGTACTGTAGTAGATATACAGTATGCAGTCAGCAGTCGGTTGGTTTAGGGTTTTTTTGGCATCTCCATGTGGTCCTGTTCGGTATCGCAACTTGGCTTCTCTAAAATGTAAAAAAGCTCTTTGGTGTTGCACTGTACACATACTATAAAATTCAGATTTTTTTTTTCTTTCATATGTACTTATTTGGGCTCCTTATATCATTTGGTTCTTTGGTGTCCTTTTGGAGTTTTAAGTGTCCTTTTTTGGAAAGACATCTAAATTTATCTTGAAAAAAGGTTGCAGAAAATACAGATTTTTTAGAATCACCCTTCAATCTTTTGGTTTACTTTGCTGGATATAGCAAATGATGACAAAATAAACATTTCAAACAAGATAAATGGTCTATGCTTAATTTCACGAAGTGTGCGAGTCATAGTCATGACCAAACAATCCGTTACTCTGCAGACACTGTGGTTAGGCGTCGTCGTAGAGAGAGAGTTGAAATAAGGACAGAGAACTGCATACAGGGCGATGCTCTTTCAACATGATTAATGAGCAAAACAAATTTAGTAATCACATAAATACTGAAATGAATTCAGACTCCGCAATCAGCAGCCCATTGTGTATTTCGGTCCTCGCCACACAATACACAAACGCCATGTGTTATTTTTCAACAGGAGAAGATGAAAAGCAAGAATAAGTTGGTCCCGCGTCTGCTGGGCATTACCAAAGAGTCAGTGATGAGGGTGGAAGAGAAGACCAAAGAGGTGGTGCAGGAGTGGCCCCTCACCACAGTCAAGAGGTGGGCAGCCTCACCCAAGAGCTTCACACTGGTACGTTACATTATTCACTCCATTTAACACGAGCCACAGTGTGTTTGGATTCTTCCTTAGATTCTGCATTCACTTGATCTGTTCAGTAGGTTTATATAGTTCTGTATACAGTGAATAAAAGTATGAAAGTATTGGGTTTGGTCACTTCGTAAATTATGTTTGTGTGACAAATACTTTTTTGGACCCATTGTGTGTGTGTGTTTTGTTTTTTACTTTATATTTCAATTGTAATAAGAAATTAAAATACATTTAAATGTAATGCATACATGTATATATTTTTATATAATATTTCTGTTTACTAGTTAAATTTTTATATTTAAATCTTAAAAATGTATATTATAATACATAATATTATAGAAGTATCTTTTGAAATATTATGTTTCTATTTCAATGTTTTTTTTTTACTTTATATTTCAATCTTAATAAATACGAAATTACAATAAAATTAAATATAATGCATAATAATAGTACACATGTATCTGTTTTATATAATATTTCTATTATATTGTTATTTTATGCTTTATATTTACATCTTAAAAACTATATTTATGTATATAATATAATATAATACATAATGATATTGTACAAATATCAAACCAAAATTTATTCAGACACATTCAACATTTCTCACATTATCACAGTTTATTGGCTATAGTTTCGTAAATGGTAATAATAATTGGTTAATCTTGATAATGTCAGATAACTTTGATAGAAAGGTATGTAATGAATTTGGTTGAGTAGCTGTCGGCTGTTAAATTTAAGTACACAATTAGACAATACCAATTTAGGTCAACCAATTACTAAGCAATGCTTCATTTTGTTCAGTCTTTATTATTAGACAGCATTAGCAATCAAATAAAAACACTTCTGAATAAACAAAAAAGTCAAAGTGTCTGAATAATTTTTTGTCCCAAATTTTTTTCAGCTTTAATGGTAGTCCACCGTATCAAGAATTTTTGGGTATAATATGTCACAGTTTTTTATTTATTTTGCTATCCTCACTTACATAAATGAACTATAGTGTCCTGCACCCACTAGTAAAAAAAAATATAAAAAATTATATCTGATGTCTGAATAATTTTTGGTTTGACTATGTCTGTTTAAATATAATGTTTCTATTTATGTTATTTTATACCCTGTATTTAAAAGTAAACTAAATTTATAAAGTAATACATAATATTATAGTGTAGAATAATGTTATAGTATGTCATCATACTAATATATAATATTATGTTAAAATATTAATGTAGTTTTTATATATGTGTAAATATATTAAAGTTTGTTTGGCAAAGATGAAAGAAATTTAAATTTGCTGCATTTGAATTTGTTGTGTTAATTTATTATTATTATTATTCTATTTATTTGCATGACTGTTCTTAATACCTGTATATGCTTTCACACATTTATATTGAGCGGTTTTGACGTAACCGCTAGTATCATTGTAAAGTAGGGCAGCCCTCGACTAAGGATTTTTCTGGTCGACTAGTAGTCGTTCATTTTAAGCATTAGTTGACTAATCGCACGTTTATTAATAAACCATTTAAATCGTTATAATGAGCCTTTAATTGCATACATAGTCTAATAAGCGCTCAAGCGCACACCTAAAGCTTGCCACAGCGCACCGGCAGAAGTAATGATTATGAATGTTCTGTTTAAATATAATGTTTCTATTTATGTTATTTTATACCCTGTATTTAAAAGTAAACTAAATTTATAAAGTAATACATAATATTATAGTGTAGAATAATGTTATAGTATGTCATCATACTAATATATAATATTATGTTAAAATATTAATGTAGTTTTTATATATGTGTAAATATATTAAAGTTTGTTTGGCAAAGATGAAAGAAATTTAAATTTGCTGCATTTGAATTTGTTGTGTTAATTTATTATTATTATTATTCTATTTATTTGCATGACTGTTCTTAATACCTGTATATGCTTTCACACATTTATATTGAGCGGTTTTGACGTAACCGCTAGTATCATTGTAAAGTAGGGCAGCCCTCGACTAAGGATTTTTCTGGTCGACTAGTAGTCGTTCATTTTAAGCATTAGTTGACTAATCGCACGTTTATTAATAAACCATTTAAATCGTTATAATGAGCCTTTAATTGCATACATAGTCTAATAAGCGCTCAAGCGCACACCTAAAGCTTGCCACAGCGCACCGGCAGAAGTAATGATTATGAATGTGTCAGGGAAAAACAGTAAGGAGACTGCATTAACATTTGAATAATTCACTGATAAACAAGTGCTTTCTTTGTTTCTGTTTAAGAGATGACGTTGGCGACACTGACTCGTCATCTCCGCAGTAGTGATGCTCCTGCATGCTTGTTTCATACGGATTACATAATCTGAGAATATTTGTCTTCCATTTGAATTGGTTTATTTGAAAGTAGACATTTCACTCTCTATAGATATATTTTTCATGTCTGTAAGAGTTTCGCGCTCAAGTTCACAGACCGAGACGGCAGAAAGCGCATCCTGTTTGCTTTCATTATTTTACAAAAGCACGGTATTGTAAGTGCACACAAATAAACGTAGAATCTTTACAGATTTGAAAGATGTATTACTCTTATCTGTATGACCAAAAATTACGGAGTATTTTAAGAGTAAGTGAGCGCACCTCCATCTGTTCTGCAGTGAGCACTCCTTTTACACACTCCGCACACACACTTAGTGCACATTTCTCTAGATTAACATTAGATTGAGCGGCCATGTAAAGTTGGTAATACTTACATATTTCAGATGATAAGTCATATTTGAGATTGATGAATGATAGATGAGCGTTTAGATGTCCTGCCCGATGTACTGTATTACCACATAGACCAGCCATTAACGATCTGCGTGACTTTGCCCTTGTGGATTTTTTTTTCTGCGACTAATAAAATTTTGGTCGACTAACGATTAGTCGACTATTAGGGGGCAGCCCTATTGTAAAGCAATGTTGTTTTGGCTATAATGTAAAAATAGTTGTTTTTTCCTTGATAAAATGCCCCAGTCCTCTACTACTTGAGTGTTTTAACCTTGCTGTGCGATGCGCAGTTCTGCTCCACCATTAAGAGCCACTTTTAGCATCTCATGAACAGCACTTGTGCTCCAAGGACAGTTGGCTGACTTCCTGTCAGCTAAAGCAGAACAAGCACATCCACACAGCCTTGAGATGTGTGCTTCTCATATCTGTTATATGTGTGTGTGTGGCCTCATGCAGGATTTCGGTGAGTACCAGGAGAGCTATTACTCTGTCCAGACCACAGAAGGAGAGCAGATCTCTCAACTCATCGCTGGATACATTGACATCATCCTTAAGAAAGCAAGTCACCGGCTCTTCAACATGTGAATTAAAGGAACGGTTCACCCAAAATGTCTTCAAGAGAATATTATTCACATTTCCCATGTTTAAACTTTCTGCCATAATTTTCAGTTTTGAGTGAACTATCCCAAAATGATCTATCCTGTAGATATTCCTTCTTTTTTGTGCAATTTATTTACTTAAATATTTTCCTCCCCTTGTTTTACAGAAACAGAGTAAAGATCGGTTTGGTTTGGACGGTGATGAGGAATCCACCATGCTGGAAGAATCCGTATCCCCAAAAAAGTCAGTGGAGATCTCTTGTTCTTGTCCCATGATAGCTTGTTTTCAGGCAGCGGCATTTTTGTCACACTTATAATTGTGTTGTGCTGATATGTTGATATTTCTACAAACATCCACTTTTCAATTATCTGAAGTAAAAAAATCACGGTAACAGAGTTGACTGTTTTACAGTGTAATTTGACTTTACAAGCCTTTTGCTCAAGGTTGTGACACCAGAAAGAGAACATAATAATAATCCAATTTTCCTTAATTAATTGCTTACTATACAAAATCACAGTAACAGGGTTGACTGTTTTACCATTTAATTTGACTTTACAAGCCTTTTGCTCAGGGTCTTTACACTAGGAAGAGAATGTAATGCTGATGTTTCTGCAACTTTTTTTCAGTAATTATTTGCTTACTATACAAAATCTTGGTAACAGGGTTGACAATTTTAATTTGACATTATAAGACTTGTGCTCAGTGTTGTGAAACCACAACATGATTCTTAAAAGAATAATTTAATTCTGATATTTCTACAAATCTCTGCTTTTCCATTTAGTAGATTTTTACTAAACAAAAATGTGCTAACAGGGTTGATATTTTAAGATAGTCCCGTAATGACAAATGTAACAAAATAATCAAAGCATATTATCCACTGTTTTTCACAAAATGAACACCAAAATATTAGTAAGGATCAGTTTGGTTTGGAATATGATGAGGAATCCACCATGCTGGATGAATCTGTACTTGTTTCAGGCAACAGCCATCTTGTCACACTTTTAATTGCATTGTGATTACACACCTAAAACATTTTTTTGTTGAATCACTGTGTTTCATTTGTATTCACCTCATAGTGGAACTGAGGTGTCTAATGACATTGGAGGAAATGCTCAGGCTGCACACTGCCATTTTTAATCACAAGGAGATGGAGACACATTTTTCTCTTCTTTTACCCTTGATGTGGATGGCGCTGAGGGCAAGAGAGCGAGATTATTATTTCCACAAAAAGCGCTACCTCATCAGCAAAACGTCATTTAAGATATCAGGTTTCTGGAAGAGAGAGATAGAGATAGTGAATGTGTGAATATTTCCCTTCCTACATCTCGCCATTTCTCAGCCGCTCAGTAAATTTATCTTGGTATTTATGTATTTGGGTCATTCTGAATAACAGTTGTCGTTTGCAGTTTGAGTAAGTACATTTCTGTAAATTTTCAAACATTCTACCAAACAAATAAGTGTTATTAAGAAGTAAAAGTAATTACATTTAGGATATAATTATGGCTTCAGAAAGGTACTATATAAAGACTGACAGTAACAGGGTTGACAGTTTTATGGTTTAATTTGACTTTACAAGCCTTTTACTCAGTGTTTTGACTTTTAGAAAGAGAATGCTGATATTTCTGCAAATCTAGTTGTGAATAATCCATTGTTTACTATAGAAAATCATTTCAACAGAGTTTGCTGTTCAAAGTCAAAATCAAACTTCACGGTGCTTCTTAGAGAATTTAATTCTGATATTTTTACGAATATCCATTTTTCAATTATCTGAAATTTATTATACAAAATCACAGTAACAGGGTTGACTGTTTTACTAATTTGACTCATGGCACTCACTATAAAGAGAATGTAATGCTGATGTTTCTACATATCCAGTTATCAGTAATCAGTTGCATACTATACAAAATCTTGCTAACAGAGTTGACAGTTTTGCAGTTTAATTTGACAATACAAGCCTTCTGTTCAAGGTTGTGAAACATGTTTTTTTAAAAGCATAATTTAACTTTGATATTGATACAATTACCCAACTTTTAATTAAGCAGATTCTTACTACACAAAAACATGGTAACGAGGTCGATATTTATCATATTTGATAAGGTTTTCCAGAAAAATGTAACGTTCCACTGTTTTTCCACTGAATTAATTTTAATTTACATGCATCTGTATAGTAATACAGTGATAAATAGCAGTAATATATTTAACTAATAGATAACAGTAGTAATAAATTTAGCTACGCTTTTTTATAGCTTTATTTATTTATTTTTTCATAAAAAATAAAATAACACCAATAACATGAGAATTTATGAAAAATGAAACTACCGGTATATATTTGTTTCTCACATATAGTAAGATCCAAAAGTCTGAGGCTGTTTGGAAAATCTGCTCTGAAATTTTTCCTGAATTATATCTGGAAATATATATTTTTTGGGGGGGGATTAAAAAAACAAAAAGAAAAAAAATTACAGTATATATGGCCCCATACTTCAACTCCAGCAGTGCTCTTATACGGCCTGGGCTCTGGTTCTGTCAGAATTGGATATACTGATGGGTCACATCCTCTCAAGCGCTGCCTGAAAAGTGGTTGTTATGGGCGACGGCATCCCACTTCTCTCTGTTGGAGAGGGGGAGACATCGGGCATCGGTGCCTGCATCTGTCCTTGTGCCAACTTATTCATGTTACTTCTAGCACTATAATACAAAAATTGAGGCCTCTCACAATGAGCTGTAATTAAGCAATAGTGCCTGAAGCGTCTGTTTTCTTGGTGCAGATAGGGAAGCGTTGCTCAGCTGATTTTAATGGCTGTCAGTAATTACCATAACAACAACAACAACCATCATTCACAGATATAAGGGTGAATGCAGGCTGACAGCATCTGATAATGAGCCATTACTTTTTTCCTGAATTATATCTGGAAATATATATTTTTTGGGGGGGGATTAAAAAAACAAAAAGAAAAAAAATTACAGTATATATGGCCCCATACTTCAACTCCAGCAGTGCTCTTATACGGCCTGGGCTCTGGTTCTGTCAGAATTGGATATACTGATGGGTCACATCCTCTCAAGCGCTGCCTGAAAAGTGGTTGTTATGGGCGACGGCATCCCACTTCTCTCTGTTGGAGAGGGGGAGACATCGGGCATCGGTGCCTGCATCTGTCCTTGTGCCAACTTATTCATGTTACTTCTAGCACTATAATCCAAAAATTGAGGCCTCTCACAATGAGCTGTAATTAAGCAATAGTGCCTGAAGCGTCTGTTTTCTTGGTGCAGATAGGGAAGCGTTGCTCAGCTGATTTTAATGGCTGTCAGTAATTACCATAACAACAACAACAACTATCATTCACAGATATAAGGTTGAATGCAGGCTGACAGCATCTGATAATGAGCCATTACTTCTTCGTAGGTCCACCATCCTCCAGCAGCAGTTTAATCGGGTGGGTCGTGTTGAGCACGGGTCGGTGGCGCTGCCTGGCATCATGCGCTCGGGGTCAATTGGGGGCCCCGACACATTCAACATGGGCACCATGCCCTCGGCTCAACAGCAGATCACCATGGGACAGATGCACAGAGGACACATGCCACCTCTGGTGAGAATGTGCAACCGCAGTGATGTTTATATCACAGTCGCATCATATGCGGAGCGGTTCTGCTTTCACGACTCCATCTGTTGCCTAAATCTTCATTGTGATTTATTTGTGCCTAACATATTGTAAATTAGACTGTCACATTTGATAATTGGGATAATTGGTTGTTTGTTGCTTTCAGGTTTTCAATTGTGGCGACTAGGTGAATTATTCAAATTGATGGTCACGTAGCATTTATCAAATCTTCTCTGCACTGCTATTTTAGTATACAACTTTTTATATTTAAGACACTATTATACTTTTTATTATTATTTTAAATTAAAAATATTTTCCATTTTTATTTTAGATTAAAGTTTCATAATTATATAATAATATAATATATATAATTTTGTTTTTTATGTAGTGTTTTAATGAATTTTTATTTCGGTATTAGTTTGCTATTTTAGGTTATCAAGTTAAACTAAATGAAAATTAGATTTTTTTTTTTAAAGTAAATAAAAACAAACAAAAAAATGTTGTACTAAAAACAGAAAAGTTTTCCTTTGAGTGTTTGAAAAGTTTCACATACAGATAATAACATTGTCAAAACCCCGCATTACATGGATCTGCGAAAATGACTAAAAATGCTGTATTGTGCATGCCAGGCCAGTAGTTGGCGATGTTACTTTGTAAAGAAACACTACGTGTCCGCAAACAAACCTATCGATTGAACATGTAATACGTATACACATGACATCAACGTTTTAACAAAACACTTCTTTTCTAGTTTACGCAGAGATGATAACAGTATAGTTTTCAAAAACAATAATGTTATCATTTTTTGTTTTCAAAAGTTTGCATTTTCAGGCCCCCAAAACACCATTGTTGTGTAAATTAATGGCCAAAACACAAAATGTTTTCTGTTTTTAATTAAAAAACGGTGTTGTGTAAACAGGCTCTATAGTTTGAGTTAACTATAACCTTTGTGGTGTTTGTTAAACCTATGCAGTGTAACCTAGTGGTTTATGATCTAAACTGGTAACCATAAGGTTCTGAGTTCGAATCCCACCAAGGTTTGCCCTTGCTTACTGTAAGGCCAGAACATCTACACAAATATGCAAAATGTATCTTCAAATGTTCATGGCATTAAACCACTAGGAGTGTACAGCATGTTAAGGTGCACATTTACAGTACCATTTTTAGTGAATTTTTGTAGGTGTATCCAGTAATTTCAACGGGATTCAATGCAATGTGAAAGTTTTCCCCACACAGATTTCACAACAAGTTAAGTAATTTTTTTACGCCGTTTTGACGGACAGAAAGCTGCTTGGTTTGAAAGTGACTGCTGTGTGAGCAATACATCACTACACTATTGACTGTTAACTATTTTTGCCGCAAAATCTTGTCGAAGATTTCACCGCACTTTTATTCAGGTCGCTAGCTGTAAAATACTTCTCAAACTGTTACTCTAACCTTCTTGAAAATGAACTAAAATAGTTCCATTGTGGTGAAGATATAAATTGCATTCATACACTACGATGCACTAAATAGATGCATATTTAGCTTGTGTGTTTGCGTACATCCATAGAGTGTGTTAAAAGGAATTTTTTATTTATTTTTTTTTTGCATAAAATGACCCATGTGCCGTCAGAGTCTGGCCCAGCAAGCACTGATGGGAACTATCAACACCAGTATGCAGGCTGTCCAGCAGGCACAAGCTGACCTGGGAGAAGTAGACAATCTTCCACCACTGGGACAAGACATGGTAAGAAACTATACTAAGAAAAATAAACTTTTTTAAGGTAAAGTGTGCAACTAGTGCAAAAATAATGATGTTGTATTGCTGTAAACCATCGATTGCCTGGTTTTATGTGGGTGAAGGTGTTAAGAGAGAAGATCCTCATCCAGTATGTCCCTGTATGTGATGTATTATGCAGTAGAAGGTTGCTAGTTCAAATCCCATGTGGGACATTGAGTCAGAATATGCGCCACAAGCTAGTCTAAAAGCCTTGTAATGTGGTTATTTATATTAAGGTTTGTGTTATTGTGGCATTACAGTAATGCATTGTGGCATTGGCATACAATTATTGTTCATTTATTGACACTCTATTGACTTCTTAGAAAAAAGAAATGAATATGCTAGTATTCACTCTCCTTTCTTTTCTCCAAAAAAGGCATCCAGAGTGTGGGTTCAAAACAAGGTGGATGAGTCCAAACACGAGATTCACTCCCAAGTGGACGCCATCACGGCTGGAACCGCGTCAGTGGTCAACCTCACTGCCGGTATGTAACCGAATGAGAAAATTACCCATAAACCTTCTGGACCTTTATTGACATATAAAACAATACATGGTTTTCATTTTGTTTTTAGTACTTTTTTATATATATATATATATATATATATATATATATAAAATTGTAGTAAAGTAAATAAAAATAAAAAAAAAATTACATTTTTTCCTTTGTGCATCTTTTCCAGTTAAACTATAAGTATGACAAATTCTGCAAAAACTGTAGTTATTATTTTAGTGTGTATTACGGAAGAATAACATTTGAAATTAGCCCTAGCAAGACAAGCAATGTGGTGGAAATGAAAGTTATGTTGGAAATGATCATAACTTTCCTAAAAATGACATGCTGTAATTCTGCTGTGATGAATATACACTGTTGGACATTATTTCAGGCCATAAATGAATAAACATCATTTGTCCAATACCACTAGTGGATGAAAATGATGATGATTTAGAAGAAATTGACACATGCAATACCTACTTTTAATGGTTTTTACCAGCAACTGATGAAGGGAAAATATGTTTCCTCTCACTGCTAAATAATAAGTCACTCTCCAATTGCACTAATAAATATATCCATTAATGAATGTGAAGTTTGTTGTCCTGAAGCGGAACTGTTTGGCAGGATTTGTGTATTCCTTCCCACGTTCTGGAGAGCTTCCATGCGGACCAGACCAGGTTTTTGCTGGATTTAATCTGCTCGTGCCATCTGTTTGATAGTGCGGAGATTTGCCTGTTAACCAGCAGCCCAGCTCAAACTTTACTGCTTTTGCCCTGAAGAGCTTGTTAGGATATGATGTGAAGTGTGGATGTGTGCACTAGAGATGGAATGCATGTGTGTTTGGCTTCATATGGATCTCATTTTGAATGAGATTACTAATAATGATCACATTATAGCACGCTGCAGATCTGAGCGGTGCATGTTAAAGCCATGAAAGTAAAATTGGCTCTACTTGCTCCTGGTTTTATTGTGAACAATTCATCAGTTTATCAAATCATTCTTTATTTTTCCTACTTATCAAATTCAGTCTTAAAATACTGGTCAGTAATATAAATATATGAATTATTACATATTTAAAACTATTATCAAGTAAACAAAGAGTGAAATTAACAAACAAATCTGTAAAAATAATTTCAGTTATTACGAAAACTGAGTTGTGGTGTCATTTCAGTCACTTTTTTTCCAGTTCATCTTTTTTTTTACGTGTTAGGTTACCAAGAATACAACTGTGTCAGAGAATAGCTTAAGATAAAACGAGTCATGTAATGTTTAAAAAGTCAAGTAAATTTGATCTATTTTTATTGTGCATCATTTCAAAGCTGTAGTTTTGTAGTGTTCATTTAGTATTATTTAGTTTTAATTAATATTTTGAATTAACTTAATTTTTTATATTCTTAGTTTTAATTTTAAATGTAAGTTTAAGTTATTTAAATGCAAGTTTTAGGGTTTTTGTGGGGGGTTTTCTATATACAGTACCTTTAATTTGTAGTTTTTAGTTTTAGTAATTTTAGTACTTTAACATATTTATTTCAGTTAGTTGCTGAGATAGCGTTATTCATTTTTGTTATAGATTGTCATCTAATAGTACTATATTTTTATTTCAGTTTATTTCAATTACTTACAATGATTTTTAATAGTTTTAGTTTCAGTTAACAATTACAGCACCTGCCAAGGTGTGCGAAATTATGATTCAATTGAATTAATTTAATTTTATATTCTCAGTTTTTATTTTAATTGTTAAAAAAAAATTTGTTTGTTTTTAGTTTAAGCAATTTTAGTACTTAAACTTGTTTATTTCAGTTATTTGAGAAGACAAGATTTCTCATTTTTGTTTTAGATCATTTTTTTCATCTAATAGTAACATTTTATTTTGTTTCAGTTTTATTTCAATTACTGGAAATTATTTTTAATCGTTTGTTTCAGTTAACAGTAACAGCACTTGACAAGTTATGCAGAAATTATGATTTAAACATGGTTTAATTGTGTATATTTGAGACACAAAATAATAGAAATCTTTCATTTTATTTATATGTTATATTTTAATAATATTTGTAATTATTCTTAGCCAGACAAAAGAGCCTTTTTAATTCAGAAATATAACAAACATTTCATTTCCGCCACCATCATTTCCAGAATATGTGAATAATTACTGACAGTGTGTTTCTGTTTTTAAGTGAACTCTAACTTTAAATCTCTCACTCTTTGTCCATCTCTCTTCCAGGTGACCCTACAAACACAGATTACACCGCTGTGGGCTGCGCCATCACCACCATCTCCTCCAACCTGACCGAGATGTCCAAAGGGGTGAAGCTCCTGGCGGCTCTGATGGAGGACGAGGTGGGCAGCGGGCAGAATCTAATGGGGGCGGCCCGGAGCCTCACAGGAGCCGTTTCTGACCTGCTCAGAGCCGTGGAACCAGCTTCTGGAGAGGTGACGAATGCAAACACGCAAGCCCCTCGACCCCATCACATCTAATCCGCCAATAACGCACTGCTGTTTACAGGCGGATTTGATAATGAACTCATTAAGCTGTGTTTTTCCATCCTGGTTTGCAGAGCGCAGTCCCAATCTGTTTACTTGTTTGGCTTGTGCTAGACAGGGTAATTGTAGTGGGGTGCAGAGCGGATGGACAGGATGTGATTAGCCGTGCGTTTGCGTTTTGAGACGTTGTGGTGGCAATACGAAGGTCATTTCTTATGTGCCAATATCACCCCACAGCCCAGACAAACGGTGTTGACGGCGGCGGGCAGCATCGGCCAGGCCAGCGGAGATCTTTTGAAACAAATGGGAGAAGGAGAAACTGACGAGAGATTCCAGGTGCGTCTTTCTTTCTGGAATAGAGCACAGTAGTGAATGCAGAAGTATTTTTCCCATTTACAGCATTTCAAACTTCAAAGCAAAAATGTATATGAAAATTGCAAAGAAGGATATACTTCATCCTTATGTTGTTCCGAACCTGTATGACTTGCTTTCTTCACAAAAAGAGAGGTTCTGAGGAATGTTCATGCGGCCATTTTCCGTACATTGAAAGTAGTGTTGAACGGGCTGTCCCCCCGTCATTGTTTTTGCAAGTCTCTCATGCTCACCAAGGATACATTAATACAAAAAGAAAATTATACTGGAAAAACAGTCATATTAGGAAGTATATTTTAAAGAGTAATTTATTAATGTGATGGCAAAGCTGAATTTTCAGCAACCATTAATTCGTCCCAAAATGAGGGAAAGTAATGAGTAAAAAATAAATGTAAATCTTTTTTATACAATATATGCTGTATTTAAAAGTGTGTGGTGATTTAAACAGAAATTATTATTTGAACAGAGAATGCAGTCATAAAATTGAAATGGATTGCAAAAAATCTAAATTGTCATCAAATGAAAATTTTAAAGCAAAGTTATTTGTGCAAATGTATAATCATTTACATATATATATATATATATATACTATTATATTTTTTATTTTATATATATATATATATATAATGTAGGGGTGGAACGATACATTTATTCGTACCAAACTGTCACGGTAGGGACATCTCGGTTCGGTGCATGAAGCCTTACAACGAATACAGGCAATTTACGCAACAATGCAATGCTGTTTGATAACCGGCCACCAGCAGAACAGCGAATGCCATGAGTTGTGCACTTGAAAACAAAGCCCACTAGACAAGTGACCATGTGCTGATTCTGAATACGCACGTCTCTCACAGACTGACAAAGGAGTATACTTTAAAGGCTTGTGCCACTCAATTGTTTGCGAAATGGAGCTTTGTGCTCATGTATCCTACCTCTCTCATTCGGCACAAATCCAAATATACCATTATATTTCCATATTTGCGATGTAACGTATCTGAATGCTAAACTATTATTTATTATGTAAATTATAGGCTTTGTACTTCAGTCGCGTTCCAACGGTGACACAGAGGCGCGCGCGCTGATGTTTGGTTCCCTGTATTTTATTTTGATAAAGTACCAACTGCGCTGTCACGTTAGCAATGCTGGAACTGATGTGTTTTGTGTGCGTGTGTGTGCGGGTGCACCGACGCGATCACTACAACCGTTTCCTTATACCAGCAGAATCAACTTTAAACACTTATTGTCTTATTAATAATGCGTCACTGTATAAAGGTCTGCTTTTATTGGTGTACACTCGCAATGAAAACAAAACATTGTGCTTTTGTAAAATAAAGAAAACAAATAGGATGTCGCTTTCTGCCATTTGAGTTTCCTTTCTTGAACAAATTAAGCTTGCCACAAAAATGAACTGAAACTCAGCGTATATAGGCTACGTTACGTGTCGTACTGTTTTTTTTTCTCTTGTTTATCTGTAAACTAAATCAAATATATTTCAATAATTTATTCCTTGTATGTACTGCAAATTTTATATATATAACAATGTAATAATATTTAGTATTTTCACGTCTAGGTGGAAATTTTTTTAATTTTTACTACTGTCTGTTCAAAATAAATTAAAAGAAACCGAGCATAGTAGATTTTAATTTTTCCCCCCTGTTGTACCGAAATCGTATTGAACCGTGACATCTGTGTACCGTTACACCCCTAATATACAGTATATAAATATACTATGTATATACTATTACTATATATATATGTAATAGTAATAATAGTATATATATTCAGCATATATATTTTTTTATTTTTTATATATATATATATATATATATATATATATATAATTATTTTTTTATTTTTTTATTTTATTTTTAGTACAATATAAAACTATTGACAAAACTTGTTGTCATTGGTTGTAGGTATTAAAACAGTATTTTTAAGTTTATTACAGAATATATAGAAACGTCTGTTTGATGTGCGTTTTTGCATCTGGGTAACATATTTTTTACAGTGTTTGCTCAAGTCTCTAAGACGTTTCCTGTCAGACATCAAATCCCATCTATCTACCTATCTATCTATCTGCCTATCTCTCTGTCTATCTCTATCTATCTGTCTATCTATCTCTCTGTCTGTCTGTGTATCTATCTATCTATCTGCCTATCTCTCTGTCTATCTATCTATCTACCTCTCTGTCTATCTATCTATCTATCTATCTAGTGCGAAATTATGATTCAATTGAATTAATTTAATTTTATATTCTCAGTTTTTATTTTAATTGTTAAAAAAAAATTTGTTTGTTTTTAGTTTAAGCAATTTTAGTACTTAAACTTGTTTATTTCAGTTATTTGAGAAGACAAGATTTCTCATTTTTGTTTTAGATCATTTTTTTCATCTAATAGTAACATTTTATTTTGTTTCAGTTTTATTTCAATTACTGGAAATTATTTTTAATCGTTTGTTTCAGTTAACAGTAACAGCACTTGACAAGTTATGCAGAAATTATGATTTAAACATGGTTTAATTGTGTATATTTGAGACACAAAATAATAGAAATCTTTCATTTTATTTATATGTTATATTTTAATAATATTTGTAATTATTCTTAGCCAGACAAAAGAGCCTTTTTAATTCAGAAATATAACAAACATTTCATTTCCGCCACCATCATTTCCAGAATATGTGAATAATTACTGACAGTGTGTTTCTGTTTTTAAGTGAACTCTAACTTTAAATCTCTCACTCTTTGTCCATCTCTCTTCCAGGTGACCCTACAAACACAGATTACACCGCTGTGGGCTGCGCCATCACCACCATCTCCTCCAACCTGACCGAGATGTCCAAAGGGGTGAAGCTCCTGGCGGCTCTGATGGAGGACGAGGTGGGCAGCGGGCAGAATCTAATGGGGGCGGCCCGGAGCCTCACAGGAGCCGTTTCTGACCTGCTCAGAGCCGTGGAACCAGCTTCTGGAGAGGTGACGAATGCAAACACGCAAGCCCCTCGACCCCATCACATCTAATCCGCCAATAACGCACTGCTGTTTACAGGCGGATTTGATAATGAACTCATTAAGCTGTGTTTTTCCATCCTGGTTTGCAGAGCGCAGTCCCAATCTGTTTACTTGTTTGGCTTGTGCTAGACAGGGTAATTGTAGTGGGGTGCAGAGCGGATGGACAGGATGTGATTAGCCGTGCGTTTGCGTTTTGAGACGTTGCGGTGGCAATACGAAGGTCATTTCTTATGTGCCAATATCACCCCACAGCCCAGACAAACGGTGTTGACGGCGGCGGGCAGCATCGGCCAGGCCAGCGGAGATCTTTTGAAACAAATGGGAGAAGGAGAAACTGACGAGAGATTCCAGGTGCGTCTTTCTTTCTGGAATAGAGCACAGTAGTGAATGCAGAAGTATTTTTCCCATTTACAGCATTTCAAACTTCAAAGCAAAAATGTATATGAAAATTGCAAAGAAGGATATACTTCATCCTTATGTTGTTCCGAACCTGTATGACTTGCTTTCTTCACAAAAAGAGAGGTTCTGAGGAATGTTCATGCGGCCATTTTCCATACATTGAAAGTAGTGTTGAACGGGCTGTCCCCCCGTCATTGTTTTTGCAAGTCTCTCATGCTCACCAAGGATACATTAATACAAAAAGAAAATTATACTGGAAAAACAGTCATATTAGGAAGTATATTTTAAAGAGTAATTTATTAATGTGATGGCAAAGCTGAATTTTCAGCAACCATTAATTCGTCCCAAAATGAGGGAAAGTAATGAGTAAAAAATAAATGTAAATCTTTTTTATACAATATATGCTGTATTTAAAAGTGTGTGGTGATTTAAACAGAAATTATTATTTGAACAGAGAATGCAGTCATAAAATTGAAATGGATTGCAAAAAATCTAAATTGTCATCAAATGAAAATTTTAAAGCAAAGTTATTTGTGCAAATGTATAATCATTTACATATATATATATATATATATACTATTATATTTTTTATTTTATATATATATATATATATAATGTAGGGGTGGAACGATACATTTATTCGTACCAAACTGTCACGGTAGGGACATCTCGGTTCGGTGCATGAAGCCTTACAACGAATACAGGCAATTTACGCAACAATGCAATGCTGTTTGATAACCGGCCACCAGCAGAACAGCGAATGCCATGAGTTGTGCACTTGAAAACAAAGCCCACTAGACAAGTGACCATGTGCTGATTCTGAATACGCGCGTCTCTCACAGACTGACAAAGGAGTATACTTTAAAGGCTTGTGCCACTCAATTGTTTGCGAAATGGAGCTTTGTGCTCATGTATCCTACCTCTCTCATTCGGCACAAATCCAAATATACCATTATATTTCCATATTTGCGATGTAACGTATCTGAATGCTAAACTATTATTTATTATGTAAATTATAGGCTTTGTACTTCAGTCGCGTTCCAACGGTGACACAGAGGCGCGCGCGCTGATGTTTGGTTCCCTGTATTTTATTTTGATAAAGTACCAACTGCGCTGTCACGTTAGCAATGCTCCGACGCGATCACTACAACCGTTTCCTTATACCAGCAGAATCAACTTTAAACACTTATTGTCTTATTAATAATGCGTCACTGTATAAAGGTCTGCTTTTATTGGTGTACACTCGCAATGAAAACAAAACATTGTGCTTTTGTAAAATAAAGAAAACAAATAGGATGTCGCTTTCTGCCATTTGAGTTTCCTTTCTGTGAACAAATTAAGCTTGCCACAAAAATGAACTGAAACTCAGCGTATATAGGCTACGTTACGTGTCGCACTGTTTTTTTTTCTCTTGTTTATCTGTAAACTAAATCAAATATATTTCAATAATTTATTCCTTGTATGTACTGCAAATTTTATATATATAACAATGTAATAATATTTAGTATTTTCACGTCTAGGTGGAAATTTTTTTAATTTTTACTACTGTCTGTTCAAAATAAATTAAAAGAAACCGAGCATAGTAGATTTTAATTTTTCCCCCCTGTTGTACCGAAATCGTATTGAACCGTGACATCTGTGTACCGTTACACCCCTAATATACAGTATATAAATATACTATGTATATACTATTACTATATATATATGTAATAGTAATAATAGTATATATATTCAGCATATATATTTTTTTATTTTTTATATATATATATATATATATATATATATATATAATTATTTTTTTATTTTTTTATTTTATTTTTAGTACAATATAAAACTATTGACAAAACTTGTTGTCATTGGTTGTAGGTATTAAAACAGTATTTTTAAGTTTATTACAGAATATATAGAAACGTCTGTTTGATGTGCGTTTTTGCATCTGGGTAACATATTTTTTACAGTGTTTGCTCAAGTCTCTAAGACGTTTCCTGTCAGACATCAAATAGACATTTAGAAAATGTTTTTAAGAAGTTTATCATTTAGAATGTATGTTACTGACATCTTAAAGATGTTTGTACACAGCAGATGCTTTCCAGATATATCTGGAAATATACATCTGTCTTGAATTTTTCGTGCATGTGTCTTGATCTGCTCTTTTGTTTGCCTGCATTCACTGATTGGCTCATGTCAAATCCCTCAGCCAATCACATGCTTCTCGTCTCATTATTTCTTGGCAAAGCAGTTTTCTCTTGTTGTAAACACTTTAGCGCCCATTTTCGACACGTAAAATTTGATTTAGAGTGGTTCAGCTGATGCTGTCACAGTCAGTTAGCCTCTGAGAGCCTTTTATTGCCCTCTATTTTATTCTGTTAAGCTCTATCCTTGCGTTTATTTCATTCATTAGTCTGGGCCAGGTTGCCTCACAGTGTGTTGCTCTGATGACGAATATGTTTCAGGACATTATGATGAACCTGGCTAAAGCCGTAGCTAATGCCGCCGCCATGCTGGTGCTGAAAGCCAAGAACGTGGCACAGGTGGCCGAGGACACGGCGCTGCAGAACCGAGTCATTACCGCCGCCACGCAGTGCGCGCTCTCCACCTCACAGCTGGTGGCCTGTACAAAGGTACTTTTCAGAGTTTGTTGAGGAGTTGACCTTTAAACTTGTATTTATTGAAAGATCTCTGGAATACACTAGAAAACATCTGTCTGGAGATAAAAGGATCTATTTGTTGATGTTAGTTTCAGAAAAGCTGAGTGGCTAGTGTTTGGGGTCGGTAAGATTTTTAAATGTTTTTCAAAAGAAGTCTCTTGTGCTCCGTTTATTTGATAAAAAAAAACAGAAATATTGTGAAATATTTTTACAACTTAAAATAACTGTTTTCTGTTTTAATATGTTTTAAAATATGATTTATTCCTGTGATCAAAGCTGAATTTTCAGCATTATTAACCCAGTCTTCAGTGTCACATGATGCTGCTTCGTATTTTTGTGGAAACTTAGGGTTTTTAGGGTTCTTTTATGAATGTGAAGTTCTAAAGAGCAGCATTTATATGAAATATAATTTTTTTTGTCACATTTTAAATTTCTTTAATGTTAAATGCCTTTAATTTTGATCAATTAAATGCATCTTTACTGAATAAAAGTAATAATTTCTTTTAAAAAATCTTACTCATCTTAAACCTGAATGGTAGTGTATGGTATAACATAATTTAATGATAATATATTACACTTTTTGCTTAAAGTAATAAAATAAGCAAAATATTGACTCAAAATGCACATAAAAACTTCATGAAATGAAAAATAAAATGCAAAATATAATATTGCAAATATAATATTTTAGTGTATTTTCAAATAAACAAACATGTAATTTTAACATTATATAAAGTGTATTTTTGTAATCTTATAATATAAAAATAGGCTATAACATTTATTTTTATATATATATATATATAATATATATATATATATATATATATATATACTGTATATATATTAAAGGAAGTCATTAATTAAGATTATTGTTAATATTTCAACATTTTATTAATTGGGTTTCATGAATGGGATTTCAACAGCAAAAAAAAGTGTCAATCTATAATGAAGATGTACAAGAATTGTAGCTTCAGTAATAGTATTCAACACTTGAGTTAACTAAAAAAAACAGTATGTAATTTGCTCCATAATATCTACCCAGGTTGAGTGAAGAAATCCTATTTGGATAGGTTTTAAAAAGTAAGAAGTACATCTGCGAAACATGAATTTGAACAGGTTTTTGTAAGATAACCGCACATAAGGCACCAAATGTTGTTTGTTGATCATTTAGAATAAGAAACTCCAGACTTTATTCCATCAAAGACTTGCAACTCTGACTTGCAATCAAATACTGACTGATTAATCAGCGATACATCAGTTGGTCACTATTTAATTTTACTTTACTTTTTTATAATGTGTCATGTTGTTTTCTGACACTTATTTCAGTTCTGAGTTCATATTTTCATTTTCAGCTCTAAAAACACACACTTCCTTACACTTGATGCCCAAAATAATCTGTCGCTATTCTGAACACAATGTCTTCCGTCTGTTTCGGTGAACGTGTGATTGTCGTAGGTGGTGAGCCCCACCATCTCGTCCCCGGTGTGTCAGGAGCAGCTGGTGGAGGCGGGCCGTCTGGTGGAGCGATCGGTGGAGGGCTGTGTGAAGGCGTGTCACGCCGCCTCAGAGGAGGGCGAGCTGCTCCGACAGGTGAACTTGGCGGCTGGCGCAGTCAGCCAGGCCCTCAGCGACCTGCTGCAGCACGTACGCCACTATGCCAGCTGCGGCGAGCCGATCGGACGCTACGACCAGGCCACCGACACCATCATGACCGTAACGGAGAACATTTTCACCTCAATGGGGGATGCTGGTGAGTCTGTCCTGAACTGATAGTTTCCTAAAATTTGCCCGAATTATTGCAATGCGTTTGCTAAGGTGTTTTGTGGGGTTGCTAGGGGTGTTAAATTAAAAAAGCCCACCTCCAAGTTTAACTGATCTCTAGATACAGCCTTAAATGGCATTTCATAGGGTGCGTCCCAATCAGCTCCCTAGCTCCTGAGCTCGTGAATCAGTAGATCGTGTACACTAATTCGGTCACTGGTTAGTTCCCTGACTCACTGCATGTTGGGACAGTGATCACTCAAATTCCAGTGACATGATTACGTACAACGTCAAAGGAGAAAATAATAGAACGTCATCACTGGAATTAACAGGCAGGACCAATCTAATTTTTATCTAATTTTTTACTCTCTTTAAACACATCGTCCTGTTACATGTTCTTACAACATTTCAGCCGAATATTAATTATGAATGTTAATTAGATGTGTTCATTACCTGTCTAGCGATGTGTGTTTATGTTGAAATATACTAAAAAACGTTTTGTCTTTTCAAATCTTCTATCGCGTGTCATTATATTTATCGAGTTGGCTCGTGTGGTTTATGTTTCGCACTTCAGTAATGTGACGTTATTTCCAGCACAGTGAGCTCCAATGCTCCCTAGTTTTTGCGGTGCATTGTGGGATTTTTCAGGGAGCGAACGTTCCAGTGCACTGGAAGGATTTCATGATTGAGACAGCCCTTAAAATGGCCCACTCCCTGATCAGTGCCCTTACTGATTGAGATGCACCCATAGTTTTCTTTGCCTACTTTTTGCTAGAGAAACATTTCTTATTGTTATCAGTGTTGAAAACAGTTGTGCTGCTCAGGGTTATTATAGTTAACTAAAATATTACTTTTTCTATTATTCTATTATTTATTGCAATGTGGGATTTTTCAGGGAGCGAACGTTCCAGTGCACTGGAAGGATTTCATGATTGAGACAGCCCTTAAAATGGCCCACTCCCTGATCAGTGCCCTTACTGATTGAGATGCACCCATAGTTTTCTTTGCCTACTTTTTGCTAGAGAAACATTTCTTATTGTTATCAGTGTTGAAAACAGTTGTGCTGCTCAGGGTTATTATAGTTAACTAAAATATTACTTTTTCTATTATTCTATTATTTATTGCAACATTTTATTTGGAATAAATAAATGTTACCTTTTCTTTCTTTTTTTCAGCTAGTTGCCAAGGCAGTATTTCTCATTTTAATTTAATTTATCTTGAAGTACTAAAATCAAATTAAACTGGAATAAAAATAAATAAATATGCAGACATAAAAAAAATATAAAAAGAAAAATTCAAATATGAATAAAAACTATAACCGGATCTGAGTGATAAAAAAAATATTGGTGCTGCTTAATATTTTTGTGAAACATTTTTTCAAAATTGTTTGATGAATAGAAATTTAAGGTTTATATATATAAAAACCTTACTGACACCAAACTTTTGAATAGTGTATCGTATGACATAATTTAATGACTGTAAGTAATTGTTTAATAAAATAAAAAGTATTAATAAATAAAATAAAAAATAATTTTAAAAAATACAATCTTTGTATAATTTGTAAAACTTTTGTAAAATTTTACATCCAATTGTTGTGGCAATTGGTAATTGAATATTAAAAGTGCCCACCTTCAAGTCTGACTGGTCTCTAGATGCGACCTAATGTCATTTAATAGTTTTCTTTGCCCGCGTTCTCCACCAAAACCATATGGTTGAACATTAAGTAATAGCACACCTCTCCTCAACAAGCTGCAAAATTTGAGCTGTCATGCACAATGCAGGATGAATTATGCGCCAGTGTTTATTACTTGGGGTTAAGGGATTGTTCAAATCCCCTAACCACAAAAATGAGCACAATTTTCGCCTTGGAAAGTGCCACTAAATTCGATAGATGGGTCTGTACCACAGGATGTAAAACAATTCCAGGCTACAGAGAATTTATTTAATAAATGGAAATCAAAGTCAAATAAGCATACAGTAATATGCAAGAGAGCTTTAATATCTTTCAGGCACATCGTCCAGACAAAGCATATCTGTGCTGTGACACAATAGGATTAGCTTGTCCATATTCAGAATTGCACCATTTTTTTTTGCTGTTCCTGGCCTCATTTTGAAGCTCTCAATTGTGCACTAACATCTCACCCACTTGCAGTCCTAATTCAGGTGAACCATAAGCAACATTAATTCTCCAATATAATGCGCTGACAAATATTTAGCTTGCTAGCTTTGCTCAGCCTTTGTATCTTGTCTCTATTTTGTCTGCGGTCTGAGCTGTGTTTTTGGGCTGTTTTCAAAACTGAAGATGTTTGTTATGCTATGGCCGTAAGTCTAAAGAATCCTCAAAAGATTCTGCGCCCGCAAGGTTGTTGAAAACATGTCATATAAAACCGCTACAGAGCATCAGATCTGCTCTCAATCACGCACGCCCTGTCTTTGAACTTTTTAAAGGAAAACACATGGCAAAAGCTGCTGGTGGGGTTGACTGCAACTGTTCAAGTTAAACATGGAACATGATAAACGACCCGAGCCAACAAATCATCATCATCAAAGATTTGTTTAGCTTGAAAGTCAAGAATAAATCAATATTGACTCTGTTTGCTTTAATACACATTATGGTTTGTATTGTGCATGATTCATCAGTTATTTAGAAGAAAAAAATTTACTTTTTGTACCCCTTCATGTAGTAATTTGCTGAAACAAATGTAATTTTTTGCTGACATCACTCAAGCCATGCGACCTTAACATTACTTAATATTGGCAATTGGTAGATATTGTTTTATGAACGATTAAAAAAAAAAATTCTTTAGCCAATATGCAGAACCAAATTAAATGATTTTATTTATGCTTTTTGAATAACTTAATAATTTAGACTACAATAAATAATAAATATATACAGTATTTATATATAAATATTTATTTTAAATGCTTTTTACAAAATATTCACTCAAAAATAAATTCATTAAAAATAAATTCAGAAAATATAATGTTGTTTTTTTTTGATCCAGTTATAAAAATTGGAATATTAAGAGGTATTAAATTAAATCCTTAGTATTTTTCGTACAGGATTTGAATGAATGAATTAAATTGTTGAATTATATTTAAATCATTTTTAAAATTCTAACATGTAAAGTATGATATCTTTATATTATTGTAAATACAGTAAATCATTTTATTGATGATTATTATTATTATTATTATTGCTGTTAAAGCCATTTTATTTATTTAAAGTTATTTTGCAGTCAAAATTTGCATTTTGCAATTTTATTTACTTTTTTTTATTATTGTTAAGCTAAACATTTGTCATTTGAACAAAGAATTATCCAAACATATTAAGTAATCTATCAATAAATACTTTTTTGGTAAACCCCAAATGAAAGAATTTCAGCAACCAACAACCAAACAGCTGTTTAATCATTGTTTTAGGCTACTGTTGTTGTTAATTCACTGATTTAATGCAAATAATGGCAAATGCACTGCATTTATAAAATAAGTGTTACTGTTTAAATACATTGAGATGTTCTCAAAGATGAACCTGACCTCCAGTCTCCACATCCCAGTCAAAAAGCATCCTCAAACGTGGCGGTATTTCAGAAGTGAGGTTGTGGCCCACATTCAGCTGCGAACTTGCATTCAGGTTTGACTTCATTCTGTTATTAAAAGCCTACTTTTCATTTTGCAGTGAATCAAATCAAGTCCAGCCTTCTTTCTTTTTTTTGTCATTTAACTCTGAAATAGAGAAAGTAAAATGGGTGAATGCTGCTTCATGTTGATTTAACAAGCTTACTATTTTCACACTGAATCCATCCTACGTTTCGAGAGGTAAAACACCCCTTAAGCACACCTCTCTCCCTTGATAATCTTGTCAACGCTTGTATTTCTGGATCTATGTAGGTGTTCGGGAAATACAGAGTCCATTTATGGAAAACGAGTAGGCACGCTTTTGAAAGGGCCCTTGATCAATGATGTACTACAGGTCACACGGGTGCACAACCATTTGAGCACTTCGGTTCCTGAAGCGATATGCAGAGAGAAAGCAGAAAGATTGATTTTCAAAGAGAACAGCTTCAGCGGAGCCAGATTCACACACATCAAAGAAACGTGGAATGGCTGTTGGTTTTTTTCTCCTCCGGTCTGCAGTCAAGGACAGTGAATATACTGTGGAAGGAGCCAAGAATATGCCTGTAGATGTTTCTGAAGAAACATAAAATCTGCCCACTATAAATAACATTTATTTTCACATTTACAGGTGAAATGGTACGACAGGCGCGGGTTCTGGCCCAGGCCACCTCGGACTTGGTGAATGCGATGCGCTCCGACGCCGAGGCTGAAATCGATGTGGATAATTCCAAGAAACTACTCGCGGCTGCCAAGCTGTTGGCCGATGCCACTGCCAGAATGGTGGAAGCTGCAAAGGTATGAAAACTAGAGCAAGATACTAACTCAGCATTTACAGTATAAAAAAATACCTTGATTATGCCATAATTTCATACCATGAAATAGTTTGTTTTGACAGGTACCATGACAATTTCCACCAAATAATAATTTTATATTTTGTAAATAATGTTTGTTTTAAAGGGGTCATATGATGCTGCTAAAAAGAACATTATTTTGTGTATTTGAAAACCTAAAATGTGTTTTAAGGTTCAAAAAACACATTATTTTCCACATACTGTACATTATTGTTTCTCCGGAAATAAGTGACAGCTTTATAATTATAAAGAGAGCACTCTTTGCGCACTTTCCATTCAGAATTTGAATAAGTTTTGTTTTTCATGGTGCAAAGAGGACCCGTTACTGCTTACACGCTGCAAGGTTTCGAGAGTGACATGCGCATATAATTGTTAAATAACCATAACAATAGACAGGGCAAAAATATGTCCAAATAGATGTACATTAAGGCTAGAGCACCCTCACTGATTTCAGAAGCACCCTCAGTGAATTGTTTCTAGAACCGGGCCTGTCTGTATCTGGAGAAGTAGGAGAAATTATTATTTTATATATTTATACATAAAATATATTAAAAATATTATATTTGGTATATATTTGCCCTATAAATTAAAGTCTCATGTAATGCTCTAACATGATGTACTGTAGACTATGTACTTTGAGCAACCATGAATGGTCCTCTCCAATACCGTGACGCAGATAGCACACAAAATTATGACAAAATTATACCCCAATATATAATTTCATGACGATAAAGCTCCCAGGATTCTGCAATGTCTATTTTAAAATTATATTTGTATTAGGTCTTTGCATTGTTCCAGAGATGGCTTTAGTTCTCAACTGCGTGCAGGAGAAGCATTACTTCTAATTTGGCCAAAGAAAACTAGTAAATCGACATGTTTCTGTATTCATTTGTGCATTTTTCAAATGTTTATTATATGTGCAGAAAGTCATAAACAAAAATCTTAAAAGATTTCAGTTTTGGTTTTCAACATAGCATTTAAAAATACAACAACCGTTCTTTTTTTCTTTTTTTCCATCATGGTTAAAAAAATAAAAACTAATGGATCTAAAAGTACACGGTCCGTGTTTCTCAGTTGGTCGCACGAGCACATAATTTGGTCGCAGTTTTTTTTTTTTTTTTTTGCTACAACATGGCATTAATCGATGCATGCTGATGAACCTTTATCATAGTTTATAGTTATATGGTAACGAGTGTTCAACATTAAACCCGTTCTTTTTCATCAGTATTATTTGTGATTTGAATTTTGTGAACGGGAATTCCTCTTTTGCTGTGTTATAAGCCAGACTTTGGACGCTTTCACTTTCGAATTCGCGATCTTGGTGTCACATTTTACAAGAAAAGATCATTGTCTGTTTTGCTTATATCTATACACCTTTCACTTTATAAGACTAAAACAAAAGATTGATTCATTGTTATTTTTAATTAAAAAGCACAACAACAATAAAACAGTAGGCTATAATGACAAACTAGCTTACATAATGTTTATTAACAAAAATGAATAAGATGAGGCATGGCTCCACATGCTATATTATATACTAACTAATAAATTACAGAATGTTTGGCAAACAGTGAGGAATCAAAAGATCCAGGGGGCGTGGTTGGCTCCAGATCCAACTCCTCCCACCTTACATATGCATATACCTAAACCTACCCGTCTCCACCCCTAAACCTACCAATCTCCACCCCTTAGATGTGGATCCATATTGGGTGGAGATGGGTAGGTTTAGGGGTGGAGACGGGTAGGTTTAGGGATCAGGGGGTGGAGACAGGTAGGTTTAGGTATACGTAAGGTGGGAGGAGTTGGATCTGGATCCAACCACGCCCCCTGAATCTTGTGTTCTGCAGTCAGGACCATCTCCGCACGTTCGCGCTTGTGCTGACATGGCAAGTAGCCTATAAACCAGGCTCTACACCTGAAGCATTCGCACTGAAAGCACCTCTCTTCACGTGATCAGTGAAATCTGACTCCTGCTACAGTGTGCCTCGCTGTATGGAGCAGACGCTTTGGAGCAGGGCAGACCATGCACTCGCACAAATGCGACCACGTCAAATTTGAACTCGCACATTCTCAAAAAATTGTCACAAATGTGACCATTTTGGTCGCAGTCTATATGCGGATGTCACTGCCAAAACTTTACAGCATGCAGCTGTCACTGGTCCAACAGCCTCATGAAAAGAAAAATGTATTCAAATTCTGAATGAATTAGCCAAGAAAGTGCACTCTGCGCTCCCTATAATAATTATAAAGCTGTCATTTATTTCAGTTTATCGCGATCTCACAAAAATCCGTTATAATCAATGAGGCTCGACCATAGGAGGGGTTTAGAGAGACTGAATCTTAGAACTGCTTCGAACAAATCGTTTGAGAATCGTTGGAAAATGAGGTGATATTAAATGCATATTTTGAGGAAACGAAAGGGTTGTTTGACCTTGCATGCATGTAAACCTATTGTAGGAGACTCCCAAAACAATACTAGGAACCTTAGAAATAATAGGGGGCATAATAAGGGCACTTTAAGATCATAAAAATATCGAAGCTAAAGGTTTTCATAAAGCAGTTATGGTAGCCACGTCAGTAGCGCGAGAGGGCGCTAGCGTCTGTATAGACATGCTAAAAAAAGGTGGAAATTAAATTTAGCATTATATACATTAAAAAACAAGCTTTATATATTTTTTACGATTTTTAATGAAATACTAATTTTGAATAATGAAAATTAGTTTGTGTCTGCTTATTCTATTCATCAGTGTTTGAGCCATTAAAGAAGAAACCGCATTTTCCATATTTCCGTTCTGGGTTAAAAAACTAAAAACTAATGGACACAGACGTACACGGACCGTGTGCGTGTTTTGTGTTTTTTAGTTTGTTATAGTGTTTTTGTTTCACTTTGTTTGTTTTTTGGGTTTCGAGGTTTTTTTTTGGGGGGGGGGGGGGTTCAGTTTTGTTTGGAGTTTTTGTTTTATGTTCTGTTTTATTTTGGGGGTTTTTGTTTTAGGTTCATGTATGTATATTTATGTATGTATGTGCAGCATGGTAATACCATGTTTTTTGAACATGTATCATGGCTGCTCCATGCTTTAGGACATATTACTCTTTGGAATGCCTTGCCATATCATGGTAATAACATAATATATAATCATTCAGTACTATATCAAATGTTTAACATGATACCATCGTTGTACTATGGTACTGCTACAGATCTTTTTGTAAGGGTAAAAAAGAATGCTCGCTGTAGGTCATTTTGTATGTTTCCATTTTTTTTGTGTTTTTTTAATATCCAAAATCAGAAGGACCCAGAATCAGCAGCCACACTGTAATGTGCTTCTCCTCATCACTGCTTCATCTCTGATACCTAAAAGAGCCTTGAGCCATCATTTAGATTCGACTCGTGATAAGATGGACCACAGATTCAATTTTCAATCCCCATCAGCAACACAGAGAATTATAAATGGTCAGGATATGATTCTTATGCAGCCATATGAAGTGCAGGCTTATGGTTTGTTAGGCACATTTGATACATGATACATTAATCACAACATCACTGCCATTTGCAAATGTAAAGAGGAGGAATGAGCCACAGACCGGTTTCCTTGGTAACAGAGATGGAGCAGACACCCCCTAATTCCTCTTTGCATTGAATGTTTTGTAATGCACCGTAAGTGTGCGGATGGTGTAGCTAAGAGTTCTGCTGTCGCTGACAAATTTCCCTTCACAGGGCTGACCGAGTCTGGGATTTATCTGTGACAACTTTGTCCTCTGAGAATTGCCTTTCACTTTCTGTTTAACCATTAAACAAGGAGATAAAGTGGAACAAAGAGAAACACCAAGGCTTCAAAATGGCATATTAGCTACTAGTTTTTAAAGTAATTTGCAGTTATGTATACTGTCAGTGTTTATATATGACTATGGTATATATGACTATATTCAAAATATAACACAGCCTCTGCTTAAACGTCTTTTTCTTGATTATTATATGATTGAACAGTCATAGACGAGATATTTTTTACAAAAATTTAGATTAATTAACTGTATTAATTTGTGATTTGATACCTGGATACCATTTGCTAACTACTGTAAACATGCAATGTAGTGAGGTTATTCAATAACAATATAGCATATTATTTTTTGGAACAAAAGTGTCAGTTGAAAGTCTATTTCCACATCATAGTAAAAAAAAAAATCTGTGACGTTCTCTCATTATTGTAATGTTTTATTTCATTATTGTGACTGTATCTCATAGTTGCGCCCTTACATCTCCCAAATGTTCCTTTATTTCCCATAATTTTGACTGTATCTCATAATTGTGACTATATCTCACAATTGTGGTTTTAAATCCCATAATTGTGGTTTATTTCCCATAATCGTAACAATATCTCATAATTGTGACTTTATATCTCGTAATTGTGGTTTTATTTCCAATAATTGTGACTATATCTCACAATTGTGGTTTTATTTCCCATAATTGTGGTTTTATTTCCCATAATCGTAACAATATTTCATAATTATGACTTTATATCTCACAATTGTGGTTTTATTTCCCATAATTGTGGTTTATTTCCCATAATGGTAACAATATTTCATAATTATGACTTTATATCTCACAATTGAGGTTTTATTTCCAATAATTGTGACTGTATCGCATAATTGTGACTTTATATCTCGTAATTATTTGGGGGTTTTTTCCAATAATTGTGACTATATCTCACAATTGTGTTTTTATTTCCCATAATTGTAATTAAATATCATAATTATGACTTTATATCTCACAACTGTGGTTTTATTTCCCATAATTGTGATTATATCTCATAATTGTGACTTTATATCTCGTAATTGTAGTTTTATTTTTAATAATTGTGACTATATCTCATAACTGTGACTTTAACATTCACAATAGTGACGATATTTACATTTAGTCATTTTGCAGACGCTTTTATCCAAAGCGACTTACAATTGGGGGATACATAAAGCGATTCTTCTTAAAGAGGCAAACAGACACAGGAAGTGCTTGTAATACCAAGTTTTAGGCATTGTTCAAATAAGTACAACCTAGAAAGAGAAGGAATAAATAAAGGGAAAGACAATTGTTTTTTTTTTTTTTTTTTTTTTTTTTTTTACAATGTCTTGAACTTGATGCGAGCCGCAACCGGTAGCCAGTGCAAGGAGATAAAGAGAGGTGTAACATGGGCTCTTTTGGGCTCATTGAAGACGAGTCGTGCCGCTGCATTCTGAATCATTTGTAGAGGTTTGATTGTGCTTGATGGAAGTCCAGCCAGAAGAGCATTGTAATCCAGCCTAGAAATGACAAGGGCCTGGACAAGAAGTTGTGCAACATGCTCCGTTAGAAAGGGCCTGATCTTTCTGATGTTGTGCAATGCAAACCTGCAAGATCGAGCAGTCTTTGCAATGTGGTCTTTGAAGGTCAGCTGGTCATCAAAGGTTACACTAAGATTTCTGACCGAAGTTGATGGGGTAATTGTAGAAGAAATTGTAGAACTCAATTATGATATCTTGTAATTGAGACAAATTGTGAACATTACACATAATTGCAACTTTATTTTTTATTACTATGTATCTGAAAAAAATGCAACTTTATGTAGCGCAATTCAGAATTTTTTTTTACATTTTTTTTAACCTTATTTTAATTTAAACCTTTTTATAAAATATTAGGCAGTGTAGAGCATATAATGCACATATTTAGTAAGCAGTTTGCTTCCATTCTGAACATAGCCCATGAGAAAAATTACCCAAAACAAGCTATTGTTGCATGTTAACAACACATATACAGTAATGTAGACTGCTATTAAAACCAATTCACAGAAGTAGGTACGGTACATAAAACTAACCAAATACCTGTGTTGTTTTTGTGCAGGGTGCTGCTGCATACCCAGAAAATGAAGACCAGCAGCAGAGGCTGCGAGAGGCTGCTGAAGGGTTACGGGTCGCCACCAACGCAGCCGCTCAGAATGCCATCAAAAAGAAACTCATTCACCGACTGGAGGTGAGGACATGTATTATGCCACCTCCCGTTCAGTGTCCGCTCTGTGTTTGATCCTGCCTTGAATCACACAGTTTTAACATACTAAATTATAGTGGTATGGAGGACGCTAATAAAATGTAAAAATGGATTACTGTGCAAGCCCATTTTTAAGCTCAACAGCATCCATCCCCAGTTTTGTGTCTGTTTAGGTCAAAACTTGTATTAGCAAGGAAGAGGTGGCTTTTTATCAGCCTGTATGTGGTAGCAGTCTAGTTTCCATAGCGGGTATTTTTCCATTGGCCGACAGTTTCAGTCAGTGGAATCCAGCGTTCTGGTTCTGTTTGGTCTCTTCACATCAACAAAAATGGCTTTGTTCTTGAGGTTCTTTTTTTCTGTCTCTTCCATTTATCATCCTTCCTCACACATGGAATATTCTTTCATAAAACAAAGAATCTTTTTCATGTTGCTCGCCTTCTTTTGCTCTTACTTCTAAAGTGTAGCATGCTGCCACTGGATTTTGCAAAATCCTTTTATGATGGACATCGCCAGAAACATCCCAAATGCTCTACAATCCTTGCTGAACCTGTAATGAAATTCACTCAGAACAGTCAGGTTTTTGTATGGTTAACACTACATCTAACCCGGTGCACAGTGATGCCAAAGTTTAGGGCAGCACAGTTAATTGAAATAAAACCAAAATCGCAATATTGCTTAGTGTGATTATCAAGTCGCAAAGACTGCAATTTAATTATATAAAAAAAAAAATATATATATATATATACTGAACAAATGCATACACTGAACATGAAGAAATTAGGTATTGTAATTTTACAGTTGGTTTAAATATAAAATTATTATTATTATTATGTTCTTAAATACTTGTTTTTTTATTTTACATTGAAATATTACAATAGTTTTATTTACTATTTTTATTTAGCAATAGTAGTAGTAGTTTGTGGTTATTATTCCTAATAAATAAATAAAGAAAAAATAATTTAAACTGTATTGTAAAAAATATTATAATTTTTATTATATATAGCAATAATATTTCTTATTTTTATTTATATAATACTATTATTATTACTAAATAAATATTTATATTTGTATTTATATAAAATAATATTTTTTAGCATAGTAATAGTAGTTGTAGCAATATATTTATTATTGTTGTTGTTGTTGAATTGTCATATTTATATATATATTCACAGTATATTCACAGTGTTTTTGGTCAAATAGTGCTGTCCTACTTTTTTTTTTATCACGATTTTTATTTTAAAAAATAAATTGCTATTAGTTTTTTTTTTTCCTTCTCCAAATTGTGCAGCCCTACCAGATGTAATAGACCGCCACTGTTTCCACGTTTGTTATTTGCTGTGTTAGTAATTATTGAAGCTGTAATTCATTATTGTTATTTGTCTGGAACAGAATGCAGCTAAGCAGGCCGCAGCCGCAGCTACGCAAACCATTGCCGCCGCCCAGAATGCAGCTGCATCCAATAAGAACACCATGTCACATCAGCAGCTCGTGTTCAGCTGCAAGGTATTGTGGGTAGTTCTGTTCTGTTTAGTTCAGGATTTTTGAATTTGAATAAAACTATTCCGACTGTGGATTTGTGGATGCTCTTCAGGCAGTGGCCGACCATATCCCACAACTAGTACAGGGAATGAGGGGCAGTCAGGCCTACCCGGAAGATCTTGGTGCCCAACTCGCCCTTATCATCGCCAGCCAGAGTTTCCTGCAGGTAAAACGCACATTCTATGTTTGTTTAGCAGCCTCTGATTTGACGTTTAAATGATCCTCACATTGTTTCTGTCTCCAAACAGCCGGGAAGCAAAATGGTGACGTCTGCTAAAGCGGCCGTTCCGACGGTAACTGACCAGGCAGCTGCGATGCAACTTGGTCAGTGTGCCAAGAACCTGGCCACCTGCCTGGCAGAGCTGCGCACAGCTGCACAGAAGGTGCCCACAGTTCACTGCCTCCTAGTAGATCCAAAACACCTTTAAATACTGAAGCATATTGTAATAATAATCAGGCGTAGAGATTCATCCTTCCATTACTCATGTTTTAAAGGGACAGTTTGGACAGAAATGATAGTTTTCTCAAAATTTAAAGTGTGGTCACATTTTCACAGTTGAATTTCAGTGGGAATCTGTGCAAATAGGAACTTTTCATGAGTGCGACAGACAGTCGTTAAAATTGTTTTAAGCTGTGAAAGAATATCTACACTATTGATAATAGACTTAGACGCCATATTGAAATTAACAAGGATGAAAACAAATAGACTTACAGTCTTAACAATGGCACTGTATAAAGGTCCTAGATGACGTAATTTTACGCAACTCACTTTCAAAACTGTTTTATGAGGTTTTTAACTACTTTTAACTTTTTTCAGAAAGACATTTATCAGCTGAACAATTGATATATTGTTAAACAACAGTAGAATCCACTAAACGCACTGCACTTCAGTCCCTCAGAGCTTTGTGTTCAGTCCTGTCAAAAATAGAAAATGGCACTACCCTGTCTAAGGTGTATGGACAATGGAGCTTTTTTCACAAAAGTTGGCTGTAAATGTTTTTGTTTGTTTGTTATATTTGTGTATTGTTTCATAGGCTCATGAGGCGTGTGGTCCTCTGGAGATCGACTCGGCTCTCAATGCTGTTCAGACTCTCAAGAGTGAACTGCAAGATGCTAAAATGGCCACACTGGAAGGACAACTCAAACCGCTACCTGGAGAATCGGTAGGTGAAATTTATCACATAAAACTAAATCATCAAACTTGTTAGCAGTAGTCCTCACCGTTACTTCTTCACACTTGTGTCTGTAGTTGGAGAAGTGCGCTCAGGATCTCGGAAGTACGTCTAAAGCTGTGGGCTCCTCCATGGCCCAGTTATTGACCTGTGCCGCCCAGGGCAACGAACATTATACTGGTGAGATGACTTATGTTGCTTTTCAGCATATGAAACACAATATTTCAGGAGAATATATCTATCCTGAATATGAAACGTGCAGTATAACAACAGGATTTACACAAGTAGGACACATTCCTGGATTAACATCCCATCAACCAATCATCATTACCCTTTGAATTTGGGGTTAAGTCCTTGATTGTTTGGTAGAACACAAACAGCAAATGTTGATCCATGAGCATGTCTTGTTTTTTGTAAATAACATTAAAACGAATTATGTACTATTTGAATACAAATTTAAATAAACGCTCCTGAAGCAATTTACAATGCATTCAAGATAATCGAACCCAAGACCTTGGCATCCCTAGTGAAATTCTCTACCAGTTGAGCTAAACAAAAAGTAGTTAATCACCCAGGTTTTTATTATCAAGTATCTTTTGCAACAAAAACAGAGACATTTGCAGAAATATCTAAATTCATCTACGATTAATATTTCATGCATCTACGAGATGCTTGTAAGCTGGCTGAGTTTTCCCAACAAAGCTGCTTCTTCCAAATTAACGGCATGAAAACTGAGAGGAGAGCGATGCTGTAACTTACCTGCACCACCCATCAATTTTTCACTCTGTCTGGCTGGATCGTTGCTCTCAGGAGAGCTTCTGAAGACAGATTTTAATGGCATGCTCGAACAAATCCCCCCTCTTCCACTCCGGCTCCTGCAGCTTCTCAAGCCAAGGGTATAACTAACCCCCGTCCCTCATTAATCTTATTTTCACTAGATTTAACATACCATCAGCAATTGGGCTCTACTTGGCTGGATAATGCAATTTGATGCAATTTGCCTGCATTGGCCCTTCCCTTTTTTTTTTTGCTTTCTGTTCTATAAGTAAAGGCCAGATCCCATATGGCGCCTTATTTTCTTTCCACACTCATTTACTGGAACAGCGGGGGCATTCTGAGTCAACCATGAGCCAAAATGAGGCATAAAACTTTATTTGGAGCAAAACATTTGGACTGGGTGCTTCAAAAATGTCCCTCATTTTGCATTACAGTTTATTGCAGTCGGTCAGTAAATGTAAAAATAAAAATAAATGTGTTTTTGATGACTGATACCAGTGTTGATAATTAAGAGAAGAATGTGGTTGAACGCCATTTATAATGCTATAATGGAATCCAAAAATGAAACCAAAAAAATCATACAAATTGGCAAAACTATTTATTTGCCACATTTTCTCTTTAAAAACAAACCCTCTGAAGATTAATTAGGCCAAGCAGACATCGTTATCAAATGATGCAGATAATCTCAGTCTTTTACAATGATAGAACGATATAATGCCAAATATCGGCAATTAATCGGATTTGTCCAGTCAGTTATTGTAATAGATATGAATGAATGAATGATGCATAAATAAAGCTTTGTGTATTGTTGTACACCTAAAGCACTTTACAATCATGTGGGAGGGTCTCTCATCAACCACAGAATCTCATACAATCAAAAATCAGCTGATTAATTGTTCAGAGTGATATATCCTTTGATCGCTATGGTAAATATAATATCAGAATGTCAAATATAATTTATTATCTGGCCGATATATCGGTCAATAACTGATAGATATAATCTCAGAATGCCAAATATTTTCCAACTATTGTCCAGTTATATATTGTTCGATTGCTATGATAAATATATTCTCAGATTGCTAGATATCAGTGTAGTCTGCCCAGTTTATCAGAACACTGATAATTATAATCTCCTAATGACAGATATCATAGATTAAATGATCTGATCAATATATTGGTTGATCATTATGATCAAAATAATCTCATAATGTCAGATACTGGCAGATTAATCAGCCAATAATTGCCAAATTCAATGACTTATCACTCTAGTCAATAAATCAGCTAATCACTGAGATAGATATAATGTCACAGTGTTAAATATTGGCTGATATATTGGTCGATCAATATGCTAGAAAGATATAATATTAAATGGCAAATTTATGCAGATTAATCAGACTGGCCAATATATTGGTCAATCACTATGATAAATATAATCTCAAAATCATTCAGTCTGGTTGATGTATATTGACTGATTAATTGGTGATAAATTGCCCAATTGCTAAAATAAATATAATCTCAGAATACCAAGAATAGTCTTGTTAATATATTGGTTGATCACTGATATAATCTCAGAAATATTGCAAATATTATCCGATTATTCGGTCTAGCTGTTATATCGGTATATCACTGTAATAGATATAATAGCAGAATCTCAAATATTGTCCAGTTAATTGGTCTGACTGTTATATCAGTAGATCCCTGTGATGGATATAATATCAAATTGTCAAATGCTCTCTAATTACTAAATCTGTTTTATTGGTAGATCACAGTGATTTAATCTCAGAATGCAAAATATCGTACAAATAATCAGTCTGAATACAAAAGTCTGACTGTTATATTGGTAGATCATTGTAATAGATATAATCTCAAAATGGCAAATAGTGGTTGATTAATCAGTCTGATGATTATATTGGTAGACCACTGTGATAGATATAATCTAAGAATGCCAAATATTGGCCAATTAATCGGTCTGTTATATCGGTAGATCATTGTAATAAATATAATCTCAAAATTGCAAATATTGGCCAATTAATTGGTCTGATGATTATATTGTTAGATTACTGTGATAGATGTAACCTCAGAATGCCAAAAAATGTCCAATTAATCGTCCTGGTCCATATACCAGTTATAATATATATTTTCAATTGCTTATATTTGTGTGTGTGTGTGTTTGCGGCAGGAGTGGCAGCAAGGGAAACCGCTCAAGCTCTGAGGACGTTGGCCCAGGCCGCGAGGGGAGTGGCAGCGAGTACCGTGGAGCCCCAAGCTGCAGCGGCCATGCTGGACTCTGCCTGTCACGTGATGGAGGGCTCGGCCATGCTAATCCACGAAGCCCACCAAGCCCTAGTGTGCCCTGGTGATGCAGAGAGCCAGCAGAGATTAGCACAGGTAGAACGACGCACATTACATGCATTCCACCATTAAACAACACGCAAATAACGACAGATGTCCACCCATCTGCGAGAACATGTATTCAATGACAAGTAGAAGCTAAAATAGAAGTTTGGTTGCATAGTTATCCAAAAAAAAAGTATTTATTCATCTTTATATGAGGCCAGAATAGTTTTTGTCTTCTTCAGCTACTGTGTTAAAACCAGATCAATCTCCCATCAGCTCCCTCTTGGCAATTATCTCCAATAAACTGAGCTATTTTCTATTGTCTCTCTGTTTCTCGGCGCACCCTTTTTCTGGAAGGCACCAGCGTGCCTCCTGATTCACACAGGTTCCTTTGGGATGCAAACATATTGCTTGGCATATGTCTGTGACAGTGGCATAAATTAGGGACACAGATTTCTCTGTTGTGCCGAGGGGCTGATTTGAATTTTAGATTCACGCCGCATCTCTCCGGGCTTTTGTAGAGTTATTGGTGGGAATGTGCGTGTTTGTTGGTGTTTTTCAGGTGGCGAAGGCTGTCTCTCACTCTCTGAATAACTGTGTGAACTGCTTACCTGGACAGAAGGATGTGGACATGGCTCTCAGGAGCATTGGCGAAGCCAGTAAAAAATTGCTTGTGGAAAATGTACGTTTTTTTGTCGGTTCTGTGTAGCTACTAGTGAGTCTAAACATAAAACTGTGTAAATTATCCGAAAAATGTTATTACATAAATTGTTGCAATTTATAAATGCTGTTCACAGAAATTCCATCTGATCATGTTTCATGAATGAGGCCCAACAGTGATCAACCCTAACTTTTTCCAGTTTCCTCCATGCTCCAAATCCTTCCAAGAGGCCCAGACTGACCTGAACCACACGGCAGCGGAGCTCAATCATTCAGCCGGAGATGTGGTGCAGTCTACACGTGGGAGCAGCAGCCAGCTGGCTGTGGCTTCCGGGAAGTTCAGCCAAGACTTTGACGAGTTTTTAGATGCTGGCATCGAGATGGCCGGACACACTCAGGTACAGTTTCAGCACCCTCTTAGAGCTGAGAGATCGTTCTTAACATGCTCCGCCCACAGAGAAATCTCATTGGTCCATTTACATTTATGCATTTAGCAGATGCTTTTATCTAAAGCGACTTACAAAAGAGGAACCAAACAACTCTTCAAAGAGCTAACAATATTCATAATACACAATGCCAGGTTTATTAAACAGCTAGATTAGGTCCAAAATCCTTGAATTTGTTGCTTTGCACAACATTTTGCATTTTGTTGAAATAACAATAATGAAAATTTTTCATGTACACATGTATACTATTGTTCAAAAGATGTAAGATGTTTTTGAAAGTAGTTACGTATGCTCACCAAGGCTGCATTTATGTTTAAAAATACAGTAACTTTTGAAAGGTAGTATACACAGTATATATGTTAAACAACTAACCAAAGAGAAAAAACAAATGGCGTTCACATTTTCTAAAATGATTCATTTGTTAATTAGCGCCTCACATCTAATTCACTCAGGCACATAATTGTTTCAGAGAGCATGAAGATGCTCCACCCTAATGAAATCTTTGATGATGTTCTGGTTCTGCATGTTTTGTTGATTCATTTGGAGAGATAGGTGAGCAGAGGGGTTGATGGAGCATGAAATGCCCGTTAAAGGATGACTGAGGGATAGTGCGGGACACAGAGGTCTGGCTGGACAGAACAGGCCAGAAGCTATCAGCAGATAGTCTAGCTCTTTGAGACTAATGCCCATCGAAATGATATGTAAAATAAGAGCCACGGTTTGCTCTTTTTAAGGGCAAAATTAGAAAAGCAAACACTGTAAAAAATCAAAGGTTGGGAAAACGTAAAAGTTTAAGGCAACCAGCTTCAGGAGATTTGAGTTTTCTCAACTTGTTGTTTTCAGTTTATACAACAAAAAGTTGAGAAAAACTCAAAAATCTACTACAAAAACAAGCTGAAAAAGCTCTAAAATGTCCTGAAGCTGGTTGCCTTCTCAACTTTATCAGGAGATTTGAGTTTTCTCAACTTGTTGTTTTCAGTTTATACAACAAAAAGTTGAGAAAACTCAAAAATCTACTACAAAAACAAGCTGAAAAAGCTCTAAAATGTCCTGAAGCTGGTTGCCTTCTCAACTTTTGATTTTTGTACAGTGAATCAACTTGGATCATGAATATTAATTATGTGGAATCATATAATTAATATTCAGTAGGCCTACAATGCCTTGAAAGGCAGACAATGGTTTACCACCTGTTTCGGTCTGTTCTGCACACAAAGCTGTCATATGTCTACAGAAGACGGGAAATATGTTGCTTAAGTAAGCCGTATGGACCACTTTTATGATACTTTTATGGTATTTTGCATCCTTTTTGAAGTTTGAAAGCTTCCCCGTTTATACTTGCATGGAAAAGTATTACAAGCAAGTTTACATTTTGCAGTTTTTACTGTTTTTCCTCACAATTCTGAGTTTACGTCTTAAAATTCTAAGTTTATAACAGAATTGCAAGAAGTAAAGTTAGAATTGTGAAATAAAAAAGTCGAAATTACCTTTGTTTGTATTCCGTGGCAGAAACAAGCCTCCATAGAAAAGTGACGAGTATGTTATTAAAAACATCTTTTGTGATCTTTAGAAGTAAGTCAGTCATATGGGTTTAAAATGAAATGAGGGTAGTGATATTTTTAGGTAACCTATCCCTTTAAATTTTGTAACCATAAAATATAACCTGTATTCAAAGAATACTGCACATTTTTCTGCTGAAATAAAGTTGAAGAACAACATAGTTTGACTGCAGACTGAGCTGCCGTCTTTTGTTTCCATAGTCCAAAGATGACCAGATCCAGGTGGTTGGCAACCTGAAGAACATCTCTATGGCATCCAGCAAGCTGCTGTTGGCCGCCAAGTCCCTCTCCGTTGATCCAGGGGCGGCAAATGCCAAGAACCTCCTTGCAGCTGCGGCACGGTAGGAATGAGCTTCATTCGGCGGTCTAGAGAGAGTTTAGTGATCATTAACCAGTCAACCTGAGGGGCAGCCTGCTGGCCAACGACAAAACATGAGCTATTCAGCTGAATGTTTTTGCAAAATGAGAAACTGTGTGTATGAGTGTGTGAGAGCATGCCTAGCTAACCATATTTTAACCAAAACCTTTGGGGGCCTCATTTATTAAACAATGTAAATACATTTTGTTGGTCACACTTTATTTTAAGGTCCAATTCTCGCTATTAACAAACCATTAACTACGGCTTTTGTGTGTGTGTGTGTGTGTGTGAGAGAGAGAGAGAGAGAGAGAATGCTGTAGAATCCTCTCAGGTACCACAGGAAAGCAGCTGCTCCTGAGGGTTTTGAGCTAGATTGATTTAGTTTCCTTAATGAAGGAGAGAGCAGACTGACACACATACACTCCAACACACACATACTCGCTCAAATCTTGGCTCATATGAGTGTAACAAAACCTTGTTTTGTCATGATTCTGATCAATTTGTAAGACCTCAATGTTAGTGCCTCCTTCCTACATTTAGGGAGTGAAAGCTCAATGAGAAAAATAGATTTGATAAGTGAAGTCTTTGAAGGAGCTTTTTGTGTCATTCTGACTGTGTGTGATTTTCTGTGTTTCAGAGCGGTCACAGAGAGCATTAATCAACTCATCACGCTGTGTACCCAGCAGGCACCAGGACAAAAAGAGTGTGACAATGCTCTACGGGAACTCGAGGTGCTTGAACACACACACTTAATCTTACAAATTTTATCCGTTTTATATTTGAGATGAGTATTGATGAAATTATGATGGTTTTGTACTTCTATGTATGTAAAGGAAAATAATTAATTGCTTTCTTATAAACATACATATATGAATATTACAACATATATATATATATATATATGCACATGTATATATTCATAATCACATATATTTCTACAAACTGTATGAAATAAACAAGATGAGGGCCTGTTTTTTTCCGGTTAGGTCTTCTATGGTGGTCTTACATAAATAAGATCAACGTTAGATCATATTTGGCCTTATTTGTTGATTAAAAACAGCGTTTTGTGTGATGCCTTTGTGAAGCATTCAAATATACCAGCCACAGGTCAGTTGTGTGTTAAAGTAGAGCCAACAATTATTATTTGGGTCCAAATTTTTAAATATTTTTAATACTACAATCGATTGCTTCTGTTGTCCTCATTTGTAAGTCGCTTTGAATAAAAGCGTCTGCTAAATGACTAAATAAATAAATAAAACCTGTGTAATCATTTTGAAATGGGTTGTTTCTGCCCCAAACACAATGCTTTTTGTTCATTTTCTGAGGTATTTGGTGGTGTGCTTTTTATTACATTTATGAGCCTTGAAATTCTTTGATATACTGTAAGTTAGAAATATCTCAAATATCTCAAAGCAACAGGCATGCTCAGCATCTCAACGTATTAACCTTTCCCTCTCCCATGAACACACAGGCTGTTCGAGGAATGTTGGACAATCCCAATGAGCCGGTCAGCGATCTCTCTTATTTTGACTGCATTGAGAGCGTTATGGAGAATTCCAAGGTAAAGAATCCATCACAACATTCCTGAATTCTCTAAAGAAATCTGTTCGTTCCAAATGTTTACACATCTCACCGTCTGACTGAACAGGTTCTCGGGGAGTCCATGGCTGGAATCTCACAGCATTGTAAGACGGGAAACGTGCCAGCGTTCGGGGATTGTGTGGGTGTGGCATCCAAAGCGCTGTGTGGGTTGACTGAGGCAGCGGGACAGGTGAGCTTTTGGCCTGATACTCTCTGAAGCTGCTCCCACAATGCATTTGAAACATTGTGCTTTAGAAATGCGATTAAAAAATTCAATAGCTAACTTTTATCAACACCATTTGATTTAATCGACAACTTGAAAATGCTTTTGCAACACATTTAGCTTTTGGTGACAGGGCTTGTATTTATTCATCAGTAAATTAGAATATAATATAATAATACAGAAAGAAAATAATAAATTAAAAGATTCAAAACATAGCTATGCTGCTATTGGTTATATACGTTTTTTTATATTTTATATATGTTTTACTGTCTACAGTGCATTGATTTTGTCAGCAGAGATGTTTTTAGGTGGAAAAGGGTTCATTTTGGAGTAGTATTAGGGAAAAAAAGTTAAATAATGTTAAGTGCACAAATTAATTAAGAAAAATGTGTCATGTATAATGTAATGTAATAATTATGAATATATTAATTAAAACATGTAAAAAAAATTATGGATTAAAGAAACAAAAGTAATTTATCGTGATTGGTTAATTGGTTAATATAAATTTTTTTCTGCCCACTGCATTGGTTTTATCTTTCGTTTCAGAGGTGGAAAAAGGAAACAATTTTGATGTGATTTATTATTTTGTAGATTTAAAAGTAATAATACATATTTATTGTAATAATGTACACTACACAAATTAATCTTGCACAACAAGGGAAATAAATAATATAATATAATATTAAATAATAAATATAACAATTAATATAATATAATAATAAGTAAATAAATACATACATTTTGGTTTCATGTTGAATTTACTAGTTCAACATGCCTTTATTTTTCGTCAGGCCTCTTATTTGGTAGGAGTCTCAGACCCCAACAGCCAGTCGGGTCATCAGGGATTGGTCGATCCCATCCAGTTTGCAAGAGCCAATCAGGCGATTCAGATGGCCTGCCAGAATCTGGTGGACCCGGCCAGCAGCCCATCCCAGGTGACCGGCTCTTTAGTATCAAGTTTCATTCCTTATTTTTTACTTGTCTGGCCATATCCTGATTGGCTTTTTGTGGTTTTTGAATCTCTGTGGCTTGCATTTCCTCATCTTTTTGGTTGTGTAGGTTTTGTCAGCAGCTACCATTGTTGCAAAGCACACCTCGGCTCTTTGCAACGCCTGTCGTCTGGCGTCTTCCAAAACAGCCAATCCTGTGGCCCGGAGACATTTCGTGCAGTCAGCCAAAGAGGTCGCCAATACCACGGCTAACCTTGTCAAAACTATAAAGGTACAGCCTTCAATTAATTACCAAAAGATTATTTGGTACCAAAGTAATTGATAATTGATTGAATCGTGTGCATTAGCATGAAGAACTTGAGCTTGTCTGACCATTTGCAACCTTATAAGCATTGATAAAGCTTTATTTATGCGTGAGGATTGAAGTGTTTCGGCAGATGTGATCTCTCTGCTGTGTTTCTCAGGCCTTGGATGGGGATTTCTCCGACGAGAACCGCGAGAGATGCCGAGTGGCCACGACCCCGCTGATAGAAGCTGTGGATAATCTCTCCACCTTTGCCTCCAACCCTGAGTTTGCCAGCATCCCTGCGCAGATAAGCCATGAGGTGATGAAATACTGAATATTTCATTTATAATTTTTTTGTGTGAGTGTGTGGGTACTCATTCCACTGAATTTTTAGAGCCAAATTTTAAATCTTGAACCAAATCAAGAGGACAGACCAATCGAAAAATGCCAAAAACAATGCTCTGGGGTTAGGATTTGTCTTTTTTGGGCCTTCCAGACAAACTGTGTAATAGTGAATCTTTCTGCAGGTTACAGCCGATTTGATCAAAAACGTTGATTCATTCAGAAACAGTCACTTTATGAGTGTATCAGTAGGTGCGTGTACATGGAGCATTGTAATCAGTTTAAGAGTCCAATCCGAATGAAAATGTTCCATGTAAACACCTCAATCGGAATAAAAATGTCCAAACCGAATGAAATTGTAATCGGTTTGAGAGGGGTGGGATAAACCTTTCTATAAACCGAACAAAATTAAAATCCTACCAAGTAAACATGCATTAAACTGATTACTTTGCGGCATTCTGGAATTTGGGAACACCGACACTACAGTAGAGACTGGGAAATAGTGGAGGTAGATGTTAAAATTTAAATGATACAGTTATAAACACATTAGAATGGAGAACTCTTGCTGTGTAATGAACTGCCATATCTGCTCTCATGACCGGAGTGGAAAACGGATCTGAAATTAAGCGTAATTTTCAGCTTTTCAGCTTGAAACAACACAATGGTGAGAGTATAGCTCAATGAAAATAAACAACTTGACCAAAATTTGCCTTTGTCTTTTGTATTGATTTATTGCAGATTCATAATTTCCAATCTGCTTGAATTTATAAGTGCTCACGCCATGAATAATGTATGAAAACACGCTTGGAAATGTTATTTGTGATATAGCTCCTTGCAATCACTCTCCGTGTTCATAAAGCAACGCTCCTTTGATTTATTGTTCAGCAACTCTTGGTAAGAAATCGTTTATTTGTTCTATTTTAAGTACAGTAAAACTTCTTAGTATCACAACACGATTCATTTCAGAGCTGCGTTACAGAGGGTCGTACTGTTATTTTATCCCTCAATTCTTTAACATTTAGAAATGATGGCGATATGATGATGTGTGTTGATCAACTGGCTGAGATCAAGCTATATTGTGTTTATTATTTTATCTGATAGATATATCTGTGCAACTTAGTTATTAGAAACTGCAAACGAGAAATCAGTTTGGTTCTGTGTGTGGTCCGATAGAAGACGGGCGTATAATTTCTATGAATGTGAATGTCACATGACTGAGCGCTCGAATGAACGCAAGGGATTCAAATATTCGTCCGTTTATAGCAAGCACAAGCAGCTATTAACGCAGGCGTTTTTTTCCTCTGGTGATTTGTATTTGTTGTCATTCGGATTAGATAACGTCTCATATAAACAGTCCACCGAATCTTTCAATCGGAATGACAAAAAAGTGTGCATGTATACGTGGCTATTGAATCATTTACTCAACCGATTTGTTCAAAAGCACTGATTCGTTCAGGAACAAAACAAATGACTGTCTTTGAATGAATCATTTAATAATTTACTCAACTGATTCATTCAAAAGCACTGATTCTTTCAGGAACAAAACAAGTGACTAGTTGTGTCTGAAATCAGATACTCTCTGAGTAGGTAAAAACATTTTTTAAATAAGTAATTGCTTTGCAAACAAAGTATGTTCTATATAGTATGAATGTGGTAGTATGAACATAATCTGTATATGCAACATCCATCATGTTTTCTTTGTCATGTGAGCATCAGTTGCATTGCTTTACTGCCATTCAGAAATATTCTCAGATAATCGCCAGATGTAGTAGGCCTTCTGTTTTATGAATATTGTGATTTCGGACAAATTACTACTTTCCCATTTTTCGCCTACAGTATAGTAGGGAAGTATATGATTTCAGCCATAGCCCGTCTTTATTAGTGAGTCATAATAAAGACTGTTCACTTGACCAATTTGATTAAAAGCACTGATTCATTTAGGAAACAATTGACTGTCTATATGAGTGAGTCATTGAATCATTTACTCAACCTATTCCACTTACTCATTCAGCAATTAATCAAGTGACTGAGTTTTTGAGTGAGTGATTGAATCATTTATTCAAATAAGTTGTTAAAAAGGACTGATTCATTTAGAAACAAAACAAGTGTCTGATTTAAGAGTGAATTATGGAATTATTCACTCAAGCAATTCATTCAGAAGCACTGATTCATTCAGGAAAGAAACACCACTAGTGTGGGTTGCTCTATCTTTGCTTCTTGTCAACCAGAGACAAGCAAAGATTGATTTATTTGTCTATTTTTGTACCATCAGTCACAATGGTTCCAAAGTAACTGCTAATATTTAGTCTAAAATTAAAAATTTTCAATTTAGCACACATGGTTAATTGTCACTTCACGTGTACTGTATTTCTTTGTAAAATGTGCCTACACTGACTTCATGAATAATTAGATGATGACTCTGCCTCTGAAATATTGCCTGTAATGTTGTGCCAAAACTACGTGGTTTCTCTCCGTTCACTGACTGTTAGACACTGGTCTTCCTCACAGGAAGTCTAAAAGATCAGTGAGTGTTCATGGGAGTTTTGTTTTTAAACACAAGTCCCTGACAATTTTATCACCTCAGTCTGTTTCTGGGGTTTGTGGGAGTTTGGTTCTGTTCTTACAGCAGCTTCTTGCATGTTTTTAACATCTTGTTAGTTGTTAATAGAATTATTTAGGACTGAAAGTGTGTTTGTATCAACATTCAAACATTTTTGGTGATTCATCACATTTTTGCATTTGATGTTCTGTTTTTTGATGGATGGGTAATATAATAAAAAATATTTAACATTTTAAAAATATAAAAAATGTATTATGTGTTATGAATATCATAAAAAATATTTTTTATTACAAACTGAAAATATTTTGTAAATATTTACAACATTATGTTCCCTTTATATACGGTACTCACATTTTTATTTGACTTTAAGAACTAAATAATTAAAAACACTAAATTAAATTGTTTTCAATCCCAGGGTTCAGCAGCCCAGGAGCCGATCCTTCGCTCAGCCCGTTCAATGCTGGACAGCTCCACCCACTTATTAGAGACCGCCCGCTCGCTCATCCTTAACCCCAAAGACCCTCCCACCTGGTCCATCCTGGCAGGCCATTCCCGCACTGTGTCAGACTCCATCAAGAGCCTCATCACGTCCATCAGGTCAGCATCTTGCAAATAAACACCTGATTCAGCGGTTTGGTGAATGTGAAAAGCTTGCGGCTTCAGTCTCCATCAGGTGATAAATAATAAAGAGGAGGTTTAATTTAAACTTGTATTAAATAACTGAAGAGCAAGCATTATTAACAGTAGCAGCTGTTCAGTCCTCACACACGCTCTCGTTCTCTTCTCAAATCTTCCCGCACACAGAGTCTGTTCCCCTCATTACAGCTCCAGGGGGATGTAATATCACCAACGAGCAGTGAAATGGAAAACCAGGGAAAGCCAATGAATACAGAATAATTATTACATTCAATTGAAACATAAACAGTTAAGCAAATCAATGTATAAACACACAAAACTGTCACAATAATTATTTAACAATTTCACCTGTGTGTTAGATTTAGTACACATTTAAATATACAGTATATTTAATAAATAGGGTATGTGTTTATTTATTATTTGGTGTCTGTTTCCTAATATGTGTAATATTTCGTTTAGACCTAGTTTTTATTAGACACACTACTGTTTAAAAGTTTGGCGTCAGTAAGATTTCCTTTATTGAACATAAAAATGTTTTATTCAGAATCAGGAAGGATGACAGTAATGACATTTATAATGTTCCAAAGATTTCTATTTCAAATAAATGCTGTTCTTTTGAACTTTCTGTTCATCAAAGAATCTTGAAAAATGAATGTATCATGGTTTCTACCAACATTTTAAGCAGCACAACAGTTTTCGACATTGATAATAATAATAAAAAAATTCCTGAGCAGCAAATCAACATATCAGAATGATTTCTGAAGGATCATGTGACACTGAAGAATGGAGTAATGATGCTGAAAATTCAGCTTTGCATCACAGGAATACATTACATTTTACATAAACAGTTCCCAGTGTAGCAGTTTCAATAAATTACTTATTTAACAAAAATAGATGTGCTCGGCTCGCTGCCCATCTGGCTGCCCTCCACACACTGTCCTCCCAGATCAACCAATCAGAACTGGAGCTGAGCCAGCCCTGTGTGTGTGTGCGTGTGTGCGTGCGTGCGTGTGTGCGTGTGCGTGTGCATGAGCAAAAGCACCAACGTCTGCATTGACTCCTGTTTTATGAAACTGTAATGTACAATATCTGTATTGAGTTGAAAAATCGAATTAAATTAAGCTGAAAAACACCCCACGGCAACCCTGTAGCAACCTCGTCTCCTCTGATGTGACAGGGACAAGGCCCCTGGGCAGCGGGAGTGTGACCAGTCCATCGACAGCATCAACAAGAGCATCAGGGACATCGAGCAGGTGTCCCTCGCCGCAGTGGGTCAGAGTCTGCCCCGCAGAGATGACATCTCTCTGGAGGTAAACCAATAAAACACCTGTCTGTGTCAAAACCTGCCATCACTCTATAGTAACATTACGTTTCTTTAATGTTGCTCTGGTGCACTGTTAATTTCTATTAGGTCTACAACAGCTTGTGTTGTGACATCAAGCATTATGAATCTATGGAGGACTAGGAGTGCTGCTTAAAAAAAGATTAAAAATGAAATTAATCATCAAATGTATTTATGTACTAATTAAAATGTAAGTACATAAAATGCTTAAACTACAAATTCAGCAAATAAATAGACATACATCTATTTATTTCATAAATAGTTAATTTAAATAGCATTTTATAAATGCTATACACTGCTTTTCTATATGCGTTTAAAAAAAGCCATATTGTTCAAAGAAATTGGACAGTTCAAATGTGGGAGCATCTAATGAACTTTCGACTGGATTTTAAGACACACACCTATAAAATGTTGCATTTAATAATTTGTTATTCATGTATTATTTTATTGTTGCATTGAAATACATTTTTAAACCATTAAATCAATTTTTTTAAGTCTATTTATTTGCCAATTTGCCAAGTAATTTCTTTACTTTTCTAAATTAATGAATAAATCAATACTTGATTAATTTTATATTTAAGTGGCACCCCCAGTTCTCCATATCAGATATTTTGTGTTATTTTAGAATTATTTATATACTTATATAATATTAATAATTTGAAGTAGCTTTATTTTTATTTATTGTCAGCTTTCATTTTAATTTTAGTTTGCGTTTTAGTAATTTTGTGCTTTTGTCATTTTTTTTTTTTTTTCGTGTGTAAAACTTTCAGTTTTCATTAGTTTTTGTAACATTTTTAATTTAACGTAGAAGCATTTTTAATTTTTTTCAAGTTGAAGTTTTTCATCAAATATTTGTATTTTTTTTCCAACTTTATTTCAATAAACAAAAACTATTTTTAATAGTTTTAGTTTTATTTAACAATAACAGCCCTTTTATGATTTGTAACAAAATGCTTTTTGGGGATTAATAATTGTGTGTTTTAGTTTGTTAAAAAAAACATTGCTGGTGTTAATGTTAGTAATATTGTTCAAGAGTTCCTTTTTCCTTTTAATATCTTAACTATATATTTTAATATAGTTTTTATGACGATTTTCACCCTCGGAATCAAGCAGGTTTATTATACCTTTAATAGTTTAAGAATTTGATACCGTGTCTTTAAAAGTCACACTTTAGTTTCAGGTTCAATTCTAACTAGTAACTAACTATTACCTGCAACTTTTGCCTCAGTAAACTCCTAATTTGCTGTGTATTAATAGTTAGTAAGTTAGTTGCCAAATTTAGGTATGGGGTAAGTTTAAGGGATCTAAAATATCTCATTCAAAATAAGCCATCGATATGCACTTCATAAGTATTACTAAAAACAGCCAATATGCTAGTAATATGCATGCTGATAAGCAACTAGTTAATAGTGAGAATTGGTTCCTACACTAAAATGTTACCCCTATAAGAATATATACTGTAAATAAGATCTATTTTGATTGGCTAACCTCTATGTACTGTTCAAATCCCAGTGGACCAAGTTGTGGAAAACAGGCATTGCTATGTAAATGTGGCTAGTCATATGTTAACATTAATAGTTGAATAATTTTTTTGAAACTTGGTCTTTAGAAAGAGGTCACACTTTGATTTCAGAAGAGCAAATTGATATTTTTCATATTATATACCCACTTTAACCTTTGTGCTAATATTATTGTGCTATTATGAATGTTAGCATTAGCGTTTGAGGTAATGCTAATGTGACTCTGCTCCCATTAGGCTTTACAGGAGCAGCTGACGTCCACCGTGCAGGAGATCGGCCACCTCATTGACCCCATCTCCACTGCAGCGCGAGGGGAAGCGGCTCAGCTCGGACACAAGGTAACGGAGACACTTTAAACGTGGAAGTGCAAAAAATGTTGCCTCTGCAGCAAATCCATGATTGGCCAAATACGAAATGTTCCTGGATCAACAACCTCGTCCTTCTTCATACTTTCATATATTACGTCTTTTTTGTGCAAATCACACAGTGCCACTCGAATAAACATATGACAGCATGTCTAAAAATACCTTTGAAAAATGTGTCTAAACCGGTTTTAATTAAATCCGGCTTTGTTTGTTGCAGCAAGATTGATGCCTCTTGTCTGTAGTGTTTGTCAGCTTGTCATTTGAATAAAAAGTTGTATGAGTTCACTCTATATATCACTCTTACCTGAAATATACACGGGAAACTGTATGTTTGCATGCCAGATTGTCCTAACACGTGTGTTTTCCCCCCCAGGTGACTCAGTTAGCGAGCTACTTCGAGCCAGTGATTGTGGCGTCGGTGGGACTGGCGTCTAAACATGCCGACCACCAGCAGCAGATGAACATACTGGATCAAACCAAAACCCTGTTTGAATCTGCTCTACAGATGCTCTATGCTGCCAAAGAGGGCGGAGGAAACCCTAAGGTATGTCACATGGAAATAACAACAACACATGGGGCGTTTTTATGAAAAAGCTTCATGTTCTGAAACCACCTGCAGGTTTGCCACCTGTAGCATTTGACGGCACATTCCCAGAGCTTCTGGTTAGAAAGAACAGACTTTTATTATGTGTATGTTGATGAAGGGGTGCTAATGGGTCTACGTTGGCCATCTTTATCCCATCAGCCACTATTTTTTTTGTTCTTGTAGGCGACCCACACCCATGATGCCATAGCTGAAGCGGCCCAGTTGATGAAGGAGGCAGTTGATGACATCATGGTGACCTTAAACGAAGCGGCCAGTGAGGGTGGGATGGTGGGCGGCATGGTGGAGTCCATCGCTGAGTCCATTGGAAGGGTTAGTGACTCCATGTTGAAAATTAGTGGATGACTGTGTTTCCCAGTCTAATATCTGTTGCTAATATCAGGAGATCAGGGGGCAATGGCCAAAAAAGTCCATATAATAATAATAATAATAATAATCCTAAAAAAAAAATGTAATCCTACAATTTTTATTCACTTTTCAATACCAATAATTCTTATAAAATGATGATGATGATTAATATTATTATTTTTGTAATTGTTATTATTATTATTAACATGAAAAATAAGTGTACAAAGAACCAAAAAAAATACAAAAAAAGAACAGTTTGACCAATACAGAAAATTATAATATATTATAGATTATTTATTTATATATTTTTGTGACAGACAAAAAATGAAGTCATTATTTACTCTCAAATTTCACCTGCATTTGTATATCATAACCACTTAAATATAGAAACATAAACTCATTCACGGTCTTATTTAGTCAGATATATGTAAATATGTTTGTGTTTTTGTAATGGCTACTGTAATGGTTTAATTAACGTTTATATATAATATTTCTATTATTTTCTTAATCTTGAAAGCATTAATGTTATTGACCAATACTAATAATCTCAAAATAAATACTTAAAAAAAAAAATATATATATATATATATATATATATACGAATAATGAAAATAAGAGTTTATACAATTGTATAATTAAGTATATATTAATAATAAAAGAACTGTTTGACCAAAAGAGTAAAATAATTATATATATATAGTATATTTATATTAGGGGTGTAACAGTAGACGTATTCGTACTAAAAAATTTTGGTACGGGTCTTTCGGTTCGGTGTACCGAACAAATCATTAAATTTTTTTCAGGATATTCAGACATTAAATGCCATTTTGATGCTCTTTGATGTGGCGTGACAGATCGCTGTATAAACGCCTCAGTTCTGACAGCAGCGCGATCATCCCTTCTTCTTTACTACTAGTTTTAATGTGAAATAAACATGAATGAACATCTCATGCCTCATGTAATCGCTCAATCAGTGTTTCACTCGTGGAAGGATGTGATTAAAACAGCTTGTAAACTAAATGTAACGTAGCATTTCATTTACCTCAGGCAAGTCATCAGTGTCCACAGCTCATCAGTTCACCAGAGAAATTAAGTCTAGAGAAGAGTATTTCGCAAAATATTAGACTATACTGTATACATACATATTCTGTATACTGTATACATTATATTTTACTTGACCTGTTAGTTATGTCTTAATTATTTAATGTAGGCTAAATTTAAATAAATCTTTTATGAAACAAGTTATGACAGCCACTGTGTGAATGATTAGGCTATATTTCAACAACAAATAGAAATTGTATAATTTAGAAGTTAATTTGAAAACATTGCACTGAGTGCAATTTACATGTTTGCACACAATTGTTTTGAATTTAAGTGTTGATTATTAAAAATAAATAGTCATTAAATTTAAGGTTGGGCTCTGTTGTTAATTGTAACCTTATAATAGGCCTAATGTAAAAGAGCTCCCTAGAGTTTAGAGCAGAGGTAGATTTTTATAGATTTTGTTTATGAGGTACATTTAAAGAAAATTTTAATTCTAATCAAATTAATAATACATTTATAATTCATAACAATTATAAAATTTATTTATTTAAATTCGCTCTTTACCATACAATGAAACAATGAACTATTGAACTTTGGGGAATAAAACACCCTAAAATGTCATAAATTTAGTTTATATGACTTGTGCACAATATTATTATTACATAGCCCTGCATTTTACAAAAACGGCATTATATTACCTAGTTCAGAAATATCAGTAAAAACTTTCATTAACATAGTTTATTTTTATTTTATTTTTTTCAAAAAATAAGAATGTAGGATTTTTCATTTATCAGAATTAATGCACTTATCAAAATCAAAAAGCAGTCAAATGCCAAAATTCCATTTTAATGACAAAATGAAGTATTCAAACTGACAATCTGCAAAGGAGTGGGGAAAAGCAGAAATCAGGCATAAAATGAGCATAAATAATGACTTCAGAATCATTTGTACATGTGAAAATCAGCTGAGAATTTTAAAAAAATACTTGTAACCTGGCTCAGAGGAAGATATGAATCATGTCTTTGTGGCAGTTTTTCTGGTGATTAAGGGATAATACAAGACTTCAAATAAAAAAAGACTTCTTCACCTTACAAGTGGTTGTTGAAAACCAACAAAATGCATCATATTCTGTGAAAAATTGTGACATACTAGAGCAAAACAGGCACTATTTTTCGAATCAGCTCCTTGAAATTATTAAGAAACAAATGTTTGATTTCATTCAGTTAATATGATGCAGGGTAGCATTATTATTAGTGCTGTCAAACGATTAATCGCGATTAATCGCATCCAAAATAAAAGTTTTTAATTGCATAATATATGTGTGTGTATTGTGTATATTTATGTATATATAAATACACACACATACATGTATATATTTAAGAAAAATATGTTACGTTTATATATTAAATATATTTATATATAATATAACTTATATGAATACAAATATACAATATGTAAATACATGTAAATATTTTCAAAATATGCACTGTATATGTGTATTTATATATAAATAATAAATATACACAGTACACACATATATTATGTAAACTTTTCTTTTGGATGCGATTAATTGCGATTAATCATTTGACAGCACTAATTATTATTAGCATTAGTATTATTAATAATATATAGGAAAATAAGTGTAGAAAACTAAAAGGAAATAAAATAATTGTTTGATCAAAACAGTAAAAAAAAAATGTATATGCTTTTGTTATAACAGAAAGTTAATATAAACAAGCTTTAAACCGTCTTATTGGCACTTGTGCAATATATTCCAATCTTCTGAAGCCGTTCGATAGATTTGTGTGAGAAATAGATAAATTAGTGCTATTCACTGTAAACTTCATCATTATTCACTCTCAAATCTCATCCACAATAGTGTATCATAAGCACTGAAATATAATAAAAATAAACCCATCCACACCTTCTTATTTAGTGATTTAGTGCAAACACATGCAACTTGGTCAGTGTCGTATAGCAAACCTTATACTTCCATTTTGCATGGTGTTAAGCCTGTGAACAAAGGTGCGAACACGAGCCGACACATTTCACACCTTTGCTCTCTCCACATTTAAAAAAAAAAAGGAAACCAACACGTGGACACGGTAGTCACCAGCTCTCTTCACTAGCATTTTTACATAAGCGGACGTTACCATAGCAACCGTGCACCCCCACAAGCCTTAAAAGCCCGTTGTGATATTCATAATGAAGAGCCGCCCACCCATGGATCTGTGTGTCAGGTAACGAACATACAGTGCTGTCGGGCCCCCTCAAAGGCCGTCACAATCACTTCTTAATTATTGGATAGAGCTTTGTTGAACGGAGGCAGTGGCTTTTAGAGCAGTCGCAGAGCATGAATACATTCAGATTTAGACCCAGATTCAGGCTGACTTGGATGCCAACTCTTTCTTAGACTTGATATCATGGCTGTTTCTAGGTGGGATCTCAGATCAAGACTCGGGTGCAGGAGTTGGGTCACGGCTGCATCTATCTGGTCCAGAAGGCCGGAGCCCTGCAGATGAGCCCGACGGACAGTTTCACCAAGAGAGAGCTGATCGAATACGCCCGCGCTGTCACAGAGAAGGTAGGCTCACTCGGGATTGTGGGAGGCCGTTTCTTCTGTGTGGTTTGCTGCGTTACTTTGTTTTGTTTCTATTAACTTTTTATCACGGTATTAGAAAATAATTTAGTTTTTAAAGCCTTTTCTGACTACACTTTAAAAATACCATATTCTGTGAAAAATTGTGACATACTAGAGCAAAACAGGCACTATTTTTCGAATCAGCTCCTTGAAATTATTAAGAAACAAATGTTTGATTTCATTCAGTTAATATGATGCAGGGTAGCATTATTATTAGTGCTGTCAAACGATTAATCGCGATTAATCGCATCCAAAATAAAAGTTTTTAATTGCATAATATATGTGTGTGTATTGTGTATATTTATGTATATATAAATACACACACATACATGTATATATTTAAGAAAAATATGTTACGTTTATATATTAAATATATTTATATATAATATAACTTATATGAATACAAATATACAATATGTAAATACATGTAAATATTTTCAAAATATGCACTGTATATGTGTATTTATATATAAATAATAAATATACACAGTACACACATATATTATGTAAACTTTTCTTTTGGATGCGATTAATTGCGATTAATCATTTGACAGCACTAATTATTATTAGCATTAGTATTATTAATAATATATAGGAAAATAAGTGTAGAAAACTAAAAGGAAATAAAATAATTGTTTGATCAAAACAGTAAAAAAAAAATGTATATGCTTTTGTTATAACAGAAAGTTAATATAAACAAGCTTTAAACCGTCTTATTGGCACTTGTGCAATATATTCCAATCTTCTGAAGCCGTTCGATAGATTTGTGTGAGAAATAGATAAATTAGTGCTATTCACTGTAAACTTCATCATTATTCACTCTCAAATCTCATCCACAATAGTGTATCATAAGCACTGAAATATAATAAAAATAAACCCATCCACACCTTCTTATTTAGTGATTTAGTGCAAACACATGCAACTTGGTCAGTGTCGTATAGCAAACCTTATACTTCCATTTTGCATGGTGTTAAGCCTGTGAACAAAGGTGCGAACACGAGCCGACACATTTCACACCTTTGCTCTCTCCACATTTAAAAAAAAAAAAGGAAACCAACACGTGGACACGGTAGTCACCAGCTCTCTTCACTAGCATTTTTACATAAGCGGACGTTACCATAGCAACCGTGCACCCCCCCAAGCCTTAAAAGCCCGTTGTGATATTCATAATGAAGAGCCGCCCACCCATGGATCTGTGTGTCAGGTAACGAACATACAGTGCTGTCGGGCCCCCTCAAAGGCCGTCACAATCACTTCTTAATTATTGGATAGAGCTTTGTTGAACGGAGGCAGTGGCTTTTAGAGCAGTCGCAGAGCACGAATACATTCGGATTTAGACCAAGATTCAGGCTGACTTGGATGCCAACTCTTTCTTAGACTTGATATCATGGCTGTTTCTAGGTGGGATCTCAGATCAAGACTCGGGTGCAGGAGTTGGGTCACGGCTGCATCTATCTGGTCCAGAAGGCCGGAGCCCTGCAGATGAGCCCGACGGACAGTTTCACCAAGAGAGAGCTGATCGAATACGCCCGCGCTGTCACAGAGAAGGTAGGCTCACTCAGGATTGTGGGAGGCCGTTTCTTCTGTGTGGTTTGCTGCGTTACTTTGTTTTGTTTCTATTAACTTTTTATCACGGTATTAGAAAATAATTTCGTTTTTAAAGCCTTTTCTGACTACACTTTAAAAATACTGCTGGTTTATTTAGAGGTATGCTGCACTTGCTAAGGCTCATATTCACATTGTAAACAAAAAATAGTTGAAAATTATATTGAGACCAGAATATCATACGGACATTAGAGGGGGTGATACCACCCACAACACCTTAGAAATAACATAGCAACACTCTGTCAACTACCTACGACACTCTAGCACCACTTTGGCAACCACCAAAAACACCCTAAAAAATAACATAGCAACACCCCGTTGATTAATGACGACGCCTTAGTAATAGCATAGCAACACCAATGCTACCACCCACTACACCCTAGCAATAACATAGCAATGCCCTATCGACTACCCACAACACCCTAGCAATACGCTGGCAACCACCAACAACACCCTAAAAATAGCATAGCAACACCCTGTTGATTACTGACGACACCTTAGTAATAGCATAGAAACACCTATGCTACCACCCACAACACCCTAGCAATAACATAGCAATGCCCTGACGACTACCCACAACATTCTAGCAACACATTGGAAACCACCACCAACACCCTAGAAAATAGCATAGCAACACCCTATTGATTACTGACGACACCTTAGTAATAGCATAGAAACACCTATGCTACCACCCACAACACCCTAGCAATAACATAGCAATGCCCTGACGACTACCCACAACATTCTAGCAACACATTGGAAACCACCACCAACACCCTAGAAAATAGCATAGCAACACCCTATTGATTACTGACGACACCTTAGTAATAGCATAGAAACACCTATGCTACCACCCACAACACCCTAGCAATAACATAGCAATGCCCTGACGACTACCCACAACATTCTAGCAACACATTGGAAACCACCACCAACACCCTAGAAAATAGCATAGCAACACCCTATTGATTACTGACAACACCTTAGTAATAGCATAGAAACACCCATGCTAATACCCTAGCAATAACATAGCAACATATTGTCAACTACCCACAAGACACTGGCAACCACCAAAAACACCCTAAAAATAGCATAGCAACACCCTATTGATTACTGACAACACCTTAGTAATAGCATAGAAACACCCATGCTAATACCCTAGCAATAACATAGCAACATATTGTCAACTACCCACAAGACACTGGCAACCACCAAAAACACCCTAAAAATAGCATAGCAACACCCTATTGATTACTGACAACACCTTAGTAATAGCATAGATAAACATATGCAACCACCCACAACACCCTAGCTATAATGTAGCTACACCCTGTCAGCTACCCACAACACCCTAGCAACCACATAGCAACAATACTTTAGTATAGCAACACCTGTGCAACCACCCACAACACCCTAGCAATCATATAAAAGCACTCTTCCAGCTAAACTTGCTACATCATATCAACCATATAACAACAGCCATAGAACCACCAGCAACGCTGTAGAAACCGCATAGCAACGCCCTGACAAACACTCAGACAGGCACAATGAGAGTCGCCTGCTTATTTTCAGTGACTGCACTTTGTGTTCCAACTGTTTTTCTGCTATTGTTGGAATGAATGCCGGAAGCCCAGGTTGAGACTATATACAGTAGATGACATTCGTCAGTGTGTCATATTGTCTTTGATTACATCTCAGTAGCTGGAGTCGGTCTGTCCCGCTGTGGTGGCGCTGTGACCCCTTGCTGCTTTAAATGAGCTCTGTTAAATGTGTCCACGTCCCCCACTGGCCCCGTTCAGTTCAAACCTCAGCTCTGCCTACAGTCATTTCTGTATTAAACGTGAAAAGGGATGATGCATTCGAATGAAGACTCGTGAAGACAACTCAATCGTTTTCTATATCTCTGTCTCTCTCTTTCTCTCTCTAGAAGAAATACATATTTGTATTGTATTGTAATTGTAAATAAGTTTTCAAAAAGACCCAGGACTAATATTATGTTATCTATTTCTAAAATCTATTTATTCAAATTATGTAATTATATTAAACAACCTTTTAAAACTATTTATTTATTTATAATTATAATACTATGTAATGTATGTATTTCTAATTGAACTATTTCAATTATATAACAATCAAAACCTTACAAAAATATTATTATTGTTGTTGTTGTTATTATTATTTGTGCAAATAAATCTGACATTTAAATGTAAATACATTTAATAACCCAGGACTAATATTATGTTATCTATTTCTAAAATCTATTTATTCAAATTATGTAATTATATTAAACAACCTTTTAAAACTATTTATTTATTTATAATTATAATACTATGTAATGTATGTATTTCTAATTGAACTATTTCAATTATATAACAATCAAAACCTTACAAAAATATTGTTATTGTTGTTGTTGTTATTATTATTTGTGCAAATAAATCTGACATTTAAATGTAAATACATTTAATTCATTGAATAAAATAAATGAAATGTGCATTTTGTTATTAATGCCCAAGAAAAGTGCTACAGGCTTGGAAAACTGTCCCAGCTCTGCCTATGGAGTTTATAATTAAGTGTGATTCACTCTCTCCTGCAGGTGTCCATGGTGTTATCAGCCCTGCAGGCTGGTAATAAAGGAACTCAGGCCTGCATAACTGCAGCCAGTTCTGTCTCCGGCATCATTGCTGATCTGGACACGACCATCATGTTTGCCTCTGCCGGCACACTGAACGCAGAGAACGAAGAGTCTTTCGCAGACCACAGGTGAGACCTAGTAGAACATAACAGTTTCAGAATCACATACATAAAATGTCAAAGGTTTGTTTGATTAATGTCGGCATAATCTTGGGTGTCTCATTGAGTTAGCTGAAGCGTATTTGTTTCTGCACACTTCAGAGAGAACATACTGAAAACCGCTAAAGCTTTGGTTGAGGACACCAAGCTGCTTGTGTCTGGTGCTGCATCGAGCCAGGACAAACTAGCCCAGGCGGCCCAGTCCTCTGCCAAGACCATCACACAGCTCACTGACGTGGTCAAACTGGGCGCTGCGAGCATGGGATCAGAGGACCCTGAGACACAGGTGCGTGTTTCGCTGTTATAATCTGTCATAGGATTTTCACGACACCAAAATTTCAGACATTACCCAATGCTCTTTATAATGAAGTGTGATTCACTGTCTCCTGCAGGTGTCCATGGTGTTGTCAGCCCTGCAGGCTGGTAATAAAGGAACTCAGGCCTGCATAACTGCAGCCAGTTCTGTCTCCGGCATCATTGCTGATCTGGACACGACCATCATGTTTGCCTCTGCCGGCACACTGAACGCAGAGAACGAAGAGTCTTTCGCAGACCACAGGTGAGACCTAGTAGAACATAACAGTTTCAGAATCACATACATAAAATGTCAAAGGTTTGTTTGATTAATGTCGGCATAATCTTGGGTGTCTCATTGAGTTAGCTGAAGCGTATTTGTTTCTGCACACTTCAGAGAGAACATACTGAAAACCGCTAAAGCTTTGGTTGAAGACACCAAGCTGCTTGTGTCTGGTGCTGCATCGAGCCAGGACAAACTAGCCCAGGCGGCCCAGTCCTCTGCCAAGACCATCACACAGCTCACTGACGTGGTCAAACTGGGCGCTGCGAGCATGGGATCAGAGGACCCTGAGACACAGGTGCGTGTTATAATCTGTCATAGGATTTTCACGACACCAAAATTTCAGACATTACCCAATGCCCAGTGTGTTCTAATTCTGTCTGCTCCTATATTTTTATCCTGGACTATATTTATCCTTTTTCACACCCTGACTGAGTGTAATGAGAATATCATTAGCTCTCCTCTCAAATATCTCGACGTTTGGGTGCAGACACTCTCTGACTCACTCTAACAGCCAGTGGCATGTATCATGACACATCTCTGCCCAAAATCTAAATTACCAGTTGAGGATTAATAAATCATAATGTATTGTATGGTGTTATAAATGTGGTTCCGATAAATAACTGCACCCCTGGAGGAGTGCAATGCTTTATGGGAGTGGATAAGGCCAGTGGCATATCATGAGTAAAGGTGGTTGTGATAAAGTCTTCTCTCTATCTCTTTCAGGTTGTACTGATAAATGCAGTAAGAGACGTCGCTAAAGCTTTGGCTGAGCTGATTAGTGCCACTAAATGTGCCGCGGGCAAGGCAGCAGACGATCCGTCTATGTATCAGCTGAAAAGTGCCGCCAAGGTATGTTTGGTTGAAGAATGTTGTGTGTGTGCGTGTCTCTTATTCTGATGACTATCACTGTGTGTGTATGTGTGTACGCCTGTCCAACAGCTGGCCCTGTCTCTCATTTTCTTTGCTGGTTGCTGTCTACGCTTGCTGTCATCTTGGTGTGTGGCCACAAATCAAACCCTATCTTACAGTGATCATAGTGTGTATGTGAGTAACTCAATGGCCACGCAGCAGGGTACAGAACCAAGCTGTGTGTGTGTATTCAGCATAAGGACTGCTTCCTTCCCTTCCTCTCTTCCTTTTTCTGTCTTCTCTCCAATGCCATGTATGATTTGCTACATGGCAATATGTATTAATTTTGTAAACCTAATTAAAAGAAAATTAAAACTGCACTCGCTTCTGTAGTTATTCTGTGGATCAGTGCACACATTTGATCATGTGAAGTGAATAGAACTATCTCCAGGCTTGTTTAAACAGAAATTGATGTGTACCACACATATTTTCTAGCATTTTCTTATCCCTTAATCATTCACCTGGTGCTGTTAAACCTCTAGGATTAACTTCCACATACATGCAACATGATATGTTTTATTTAGCATACTTAAATAATGAGGTGTTATGCAGTTGTGACCTTGATGGAAAGATTTTTTACATTCCTCCAACATATGGTGACTCCAGATCCTCTGGGATTTTGCTTCAGACATTTGCTTCAGACATTCAGGCTTGTTTCTTCAGTGTGTGTTGAAAGTAGTGGTGGCGTCCCTCAGGGCTTTGTCTTAGGCCCTCTTTTGTTTTCTTAGGTTTCCTCCTTTTTCCTTTTGTGTTTAAAACTTGTGTTTAAAATCTTGCCTAAAGCAAGATTTATAATCCATTACAGACCTCAGCTGTGGTCCATTAAAAGGTCCCGTTTGATCACCTGACTATATTCTGATATTTTGATGAATGATTTAGATTAGAATTTTTTACCTTAAAAAGAACATAATCTGGTTGACCTTGTCTGATATTTCACTGAGCTGTTCGATGCAGCTGTTCTTGTCATAGCATTGCATCTGACCTTATTTCAGTATCTCAGGTGAAAAACTTGCCACAAAACTGTTGACATTCTCTAGTTGAGGTCACTTAAGCTATGATACATAATTGTTCCAAGCTAGTCCGAGACTTTAACTTCCCTATGTTTTACAGGTGATGGTGACGAACGTGACCTCCTTGCTGAAAACTGTGAAAGCGGTGGAAGATGAGGCCACTCGCGGGACGAGGGCTCTTGAAGCCACTATTGAGTGCATCAAACAGGAACTCACTGTACGGAACATTCTTTGTGTGAATATTGAAATATTCCAAGAGATAATGTGCTTTCCACATTTAAAGAATAGTTCTTCAAAAGGGAACATACAGTCATTATGTTCTCACCCTCATTCTGTTCCAAATCTGTATGACTTTCTTCTGTGGAACAACTTGTATTACAATCTGGCTGTGAATTAGTAACAATTAGGTCCTGCCTAATTAATTTTAGCCCAGACAGAGGTAAAAACCCATCCATTTGTGATATTAACTGGTAATACAGAGTAATACACCATGCGAGCGTTTGCCTGTTCTCCACCTGCTCCTCGTTCTCCTTCTCCCATGGGCATCCCTACTCCACTTATCACAGGCCGAGTGACAGATTAAGATAGTGGTACAGGAAGGCAAGAGATTTATCTTTTGGTTTAATGCTCCTGTTATCAGATGCCCATCAGTACTTTAGGAAATCTTGATGGCATTACTGTATTAGTGCACAGAAAATCGTCCCTGGTAATGTGACCGATTCTAAAAATATATGATTCACTTAAGATCTGTAGATGTTATTTCTGTTATGTATGAAATATTTCTTAATTTCCCTGACTGTTGCATCATCTGCTTTCCAGGTTTTCCAGTCCAAGGACGTTCCGGAGAAATCTACCACCCCGGAAGAGTTCATCCGCATGACCAAGGGCATCACCGTTGCAACGGCTAAAGCGGTAGCAGCAGGCAACTCTGCTCAGCAGGAGGACGTGATATCCACTGCCAACCTGAGCCGCAAAGCCATCTCCGACATGCTGACCACCTGCAAGGTGCTTATCCACCATCACACAGACATAAATCCACAAACACTTGGAATACCAACAAAATGTGTTTATATACACTCTCCATGTGCAATGAATGCATTTGCTCTATTTCTCAATGTCATTTGGCACTAACCTACTTTTGACTCCTAAATCACGCCCTCTAGTGTCGTCATGATGTAATGCAGTTCCTTCATTCCACAGATTCTTATAAAGCTTAAAAATCTGCAGATTCCATCTGGAGTTAATCATCACGTACCATAAATGTGTGTTTGTGTCTTACAGCAAGCCGCGTACCACCCAGAAGTGGGCAAGGATGTGAGGAATAAAGCTCTGCTCTACGGCATCGAGTGCACCACCGGATACATCGACTTGCTCGAACACGTCCTGCTCGTGAGTGGCCGCGCCGACAGCTTTTACAGGATGTGTTTGTGCTTGGGTTTCTGTGATTAACCTCGTGTGTTTACGCCACACAGGTCCTACAGAAACCCACGGCCGAACAGAAACAGCAGTTGGCCGTGCTGTCCAAGAAAGTGGCGGGCTCAGTCACAGAGCTCATCCAGACTGCTGAAGCCATGAAAGGTGAGCACACACAAATGAATATGCTACAGTGGGGCTGAAGGACACGTAAGGAAAGTTCTGGGTTTTTTGGTCCCAAAGTATTAGTCTTTATTAAATATTGATGGAGCAACACAATTAGTGTGGGGGAAAAAAGGTTTAAAATTTTTGATTACAATTATTTATTAAATAAAAAGGCAAACACTTATAATAAAGGGGTAGCTCACCCAAAAATGAAAATTAGCAGAAAATTTACTCAACCTCAGGTCATCCAAGATGTAGATGTTTTTTTGTTTGTTTTTTTCGGAGAAATGTAGAAATTTGGAGAAATGTAACATTACGAAACTTGTTCACCAGAGGATCCTCTGCAGTGAATGGGTGCCGTCAGAATGAGAGTCCAAACAGCTGATTAAAACATCACAGTAATCATCACAAGTAATCATCTTGTGAAGCGAAAAGCTGCATGTTTGTAATAAATCCATCAAGATGTTTTTGCTTCCAGCAAAATATGAGTCCTCTATCCTTTATATTGTGGAAAAAGTCGTCTCGTCTGAATCAGGAGAGAAATATGCACAGATCAAACACAATTTGCAAGTAAAAGCTGACCAAAACCATTCTAAACAAATATCTTGATGGATTTTGATGTGAGAGGGCAATAGCGGATGGACTTTTTGACTGGGATGAATTATTAATCTAAATTGTATTTTATTTACACTATAATTATCCCCAAAAAAATCTATATAGCCTTTTTTAAAATGTTTATTCAAATTTTCTAAATTCAGTTATAATGAAAAAAATCTAACATTTTTAATTTAATTTTGCCAATGACGGGTTTTCATATTCTGCTGAGCTTTTCACAAGCACAGATCTCTTCCGGGCCTGGTAATGGTATATGAGTTTGAGAGGTAATGGGGAAAATCGCAGGTCAATCGAGCTGAATTTGTGCAGGTTTAATAGAGCCATTTGGCTGATGGTGCTCTCTTGCTCTTTTCTATAACACTACTTTGTTGTTTTTTCCTTTTCTGCCACAGATGGAGGTGAGTATGATACACAGTGTTGTTTTTCTCCAATATCAGGCCACACACATACAGAGAGACTTGAGTAACTGTGACCAGCATGGTCAAACACACTCATACAATGAGTTATAGTGTGAGAGAAAAGAGAAGAAGGGATAGAATTGAATTCCCTCAGGTTTAACATAATCCTCAAACACATTCTCACCATCTGTTTTCACAAGCTGTTTGATCAAAACAGCCTCTTGAACGTCGGTAAAGGAGAATGTATTGCAATGCACATTTGCTTCATAAATGGCAATTAATGTAAAGATGTGCATGTTCATCTAAGCAATTAATGAATGATTGTGACTGTAATAACCTGCCAGTCAGAACTAAGAGCAGTGCTTATCTTGAAGTTATAGTTATTAAAGGTTGTGGCATCCGTTCATTATCATACATTATACAAACTGCTGCCCTTACCAAAATTTCCCATGGTAACCATAGTTTTTCTTAGTAAAATTAAATACATTTAAAAGAGAACAATTTGGCAAATGTGGCTTTTTTTCCTACCTTGCATTTTTTTTTTTTCTTGTATATTTCCTTTAACAATTAAACTCCGCACACCTGACGGCAATAGATAGGTGCGTTGGAGGCAAAGACCAACCAGGTCAAAAAACTAAAAAGTAAAAAACAAATCCCGCACACTATCTATGCAAAAAATAAAAAAATATTCCTGATGAAGGTCATGCGACCGAAACGTAGTCAATAAATATTTTGATGTTTTTTGCATAGATAGTGTGCGGGATTTGTTTTTTACTTTTTTGTATATTTCCTTTAAAATATATGTACAGTTTCTGTAGAGTATATTAACATCTACATAGAAAGATCTCATGGTCATTTTTGTAAGAGTCTTGTGGTGGAATGTGATTTTTCTCTATACAGGAGGTTATTGGTTTGAATCCCCATCGCATGCTTTTTTCTTTCATCTTTTACTTAGTTTATTTTGTCATGTCATACCATGTGTTTACTCTTTCCATGTGAATGTATTATATATCAGTAATGTTAAGTGATTTGAAAATGAGGGTCATGTTGACTTTGTTTGCTCATCCTCTCAGGTTCAGAGTGGGTGGACCCAGAAGACCCCACGGTGATAGCGGAGACAGAGCTCCTGGGTGCTGCTGCGTCCATCGAGGCCGCGGCCAAGAAACTGGAGCAGCTGAAGCCCAGAACCAAACCAAAGGTATCCTTCCATGCATCCATCAATTTTCTGAATCCAAACACACACACACACACACACACACACACACACTGCTGTGATCAGCCCGCCAGCACAGCTATGTCAGGTCAGTTCCACCGAAGGCTGCGGGATCGTTTCATTCCTGTTTTGTATTCGGGGAGAGGGAGGTGATGTTATTTTTGTAATTTAAGGACTTCAAGACTTCAGGATGTGGTGTTTTTGTATTTTCATAGTGTTTGGGAAGTTTTGCGCACATCTGTGTCTTTGTTTTTTTGTGGTTATTTTTTTTCCATCTTGTACATTAACAATTTGAGATTTTGAAGTCTGATGAGCACTGAACTTGAAATGATCGTCTGGTTTTTGGTTTGTTGGGCTGTTTTGTTATCTGTCTTGCATCTCAATTATTCAGTGGTATCATGAAGTTTCGTTTTAGAGCGTGCTGAACTTTTAGTCAGTGAATCTGAAACTCATCTCCAAGAAGGTCAGCACTTTTTAGAAATGATTTTCCCTGAAGCACTTTTATTATTTCATCCATCTGTATTATAGCTCAGCTGTCAGTGATGCTTTTCACCTAAAAAAAAAACATTCATCCACATTTTGTCGCTCAGAGCTGAAACTGTTTCCCTCCTTGAGTGTGTCAGTGACTCACATTTACTGCCTCAGACCGAACACTAACCAGAGAGACAACATCCATCTGTCTATCGTCTCTTATATCTATCTATCTATCTATCTATCTTGTCTGTCTATCTATGTATCTGTCTGTCTAACTGTCTGTCTGTCTGCCTATCTATCTATCTGTCTAACTGTCTGTCTGTCTATCTATGTATCTGTCTGTCTGTCTGTCTGTCTATCTAACTGTCTATCTGTCTGTCTATCTATCTATCTATATATCTGTCTAACTATCTGTCTGTCTGTCTATCTATCTATGTGTCTGTCTGTCTGTCTGTCTGTCTGTCTATCTATCTATGTATCTGTCTGTCTAACTAACTGTCTGTCTGTCTATCTATCTATCTATCTAACTGTCTGTCTGTCTGTCTATTTATCTATCTATATACAGTGGGGCAAATAAGTATTTGATACACTGCTGATTTTTCAAGTTTTCCCACTTACAAAGAATGGAGAGATCTGTAATTTTCATCGATAGAAAATCTATGGAGGGAGCTGAAACTCTATGTTGCCCAGCGACAGCCCCAAAACCTGAAAGATCTGGAGAACACCTGTATGGAGGAGTGGGCCAAAATCCCTGCTGCAGTGTGTGCAAACCTGGTCAAGAACTACAGGAAGCGTCTGACCTCTGTAATTGTAAACAAAGGTTTCTGTACCAAATATTAAGTTCTATTTTTCTATTGTATCAAATACTTATTTCATGCAATAAAATGGAAATTAATTATTAAAAAATCATACAATGTTATTTTCTGGATTTTTTTTTTATTCGGTCTCTCACAGTTGAGGTGTACCTACGATGAAAATTACAGATCTCTCCATTCTTTGTAAGTGGGAAAACTTGAAAAATCGTCAGTGTATCAAATACTTATTTGCCCCACTGTATCTGTCTAACTATCTGTCTGTCTGTCTATCTGTCTGTCTATCTGTCTGTCTATCCCTCCCTCTGCTCTTTAACTCTGTCACACTATGTTGTGTTAGTCAGATCAGTTTCATATATTCTGGAAAGAAGGATGAACAGGAGGCTGTGTAATGTTGTCACCTTCAGTCCATTCCGACATTCATTGTTGATTTTTCATTCCATTATCCTTTGCAGACTCTGATATACCACATTTCACAGACTGTCTCACATTTAGAGCTCTACATCACACCCCAAGACTCATTCTGAACTGGTTTATAGCACATGAACATGCTTGTTCACTGTTACACGTTTTACAATTAGGTTGAAATTCAGCACATATCAGGATACAATGTCATCGGTGTTTATTATTGCCCCTGGAGCATTCTTTACTGTTTCCCCTAATCTTCATTCCTCACTTCCCTCTTTAGCCTTCCCTCCTCTATCCATCCTTGTCTTTTCCCTGCTATCCCAGCATGCCCTGCTCTCTTGTGCTCTCCTATCCTCTCCTCTATTTCCCCATGTTCTGGAGGTGAGGTAGACCTGGAAGCCTTTCTGCAGGGCTCTGTTTGATATGTTTGATATATTAGGTTGTTATTCTGTCCAACTATATATCAAACATATTCCTACAGTGTCCTGCTCTGTCTCCAGATTTGTGTGTGTTCTGTTTATGACTTGTTCATGAACGTGTGTGTTTTTGGGGCTTCAGACAGATCAATTTGTGTAGGTGGCATGCAAGGGTGTGTCTTAGGTCTGTTAGAGTTGTGCCGTTTCCTTTGACGCTGTTGATTCTGAACAGTGTGAACCTAAGTGGCACCTCCATGCCACAAGGTGTCACTCTCAGATCACTTTGTCGAAGTTACATCTATCCTTCTCCCTTTCATCAGCTTGACTGTGTTTGAAATAGCATACTTCCATACTACTAACTACTACTATTAATGCAGTATGTAGTATGCTTTTTGCACCAAATTTTCATTAAAGTTTTAGTATATAACAAGAGCACACAATGCACTTAATGTAACCATCCATTTACAATTGGATAAATGAACTAGAAGAAATATCTGCAACATTTGCAACATCACTAATTATTATTTCATCAAACTTGTAAAACCGAAGGGATTCAATGTGCAAAGTAAATGTTATTTTCACATCATGTGACAGCAGTGTGGCATACTACTGTTTGAAACATTTAGCATTTCTGTATTGCCATCTGTTTCACTTTCTGATTTTTAAAAATAGTTGTCTGTATATGCTGTACACAGTATGCAGTTGGCTAGTATTCCATTACGAACATAGTGAAATAAAGAGTATGTTCAAAATAGCATATTTACCATACTATTTGTGATATTTTTGCAGTATGCATTATGCATATTGTGCATAGTATCCACACTGCATGGTTTACCGTATCCCACAATGCAGTGCTCCCTCCATTTCACATTTCATGCATACAAAAATGAGCATTCTGTGCATTGTGTACATACAATATGTACTGGAAATGTATTACAAGCAGACTAGCAATATGCTATTATGAACAGCTAATACTCTTTGTTTGTGTAGTGGAACGTATGTAAATCTGTCTTTCAAAGGAGTTTGATTAACCAATTGGTGGAAACCTGTCATATTCTTTTTTTTTTTTGTCTGGAAACAACAAAGCATGTGTCTTGCTAAAAATAAAATAGATATTATAATAATAGGTAATAATAAAATCTCAGTTCCACAAATGTTTTTGACATAATGGCTTGGTGAGAGGATTCTTGCCAGTCCATTAGCATAGATAAAGCATTTCATCTTTATAATAACGGCATTTATTTGAAGGTAATATCATGGTTTCATGTCTAGCCAGCAGTGAGCCAAGAGTATTCATTACAGTTAATAAGGTCACAATCTACAGTTTGTTACATCTCTTGCTCTTTTATTTTCGCAGCAAGCCGATGAGTCTCTGGACTTTGAGGAGCAGATCCTGGAAGCGGCAAAATCCATCGCTGCAGCAACCAGCGCTCTGGTCAAATCCGCATCGGCCGCACAAAGAGAGCTTGTAGCACAGGGCAAGGTACTAAAATCAAACTTTTTTCTTTTCTTTTTTTACATAGGCTATACATGTTTCTACTTTTACAGTGTTGTTATTGCTATTAAAATTGTCTGTGTTAACTTGAAAAACTGAAACTGAAATTGCCTGTGCAACTAACTGAACTAAACCAAGCTAAATCACTAAAATTAAATCTAAAATGAAATAAAAATAAATTCAAGCTAAATAGAAATATTATCAAAAAACCTGAAAACCACATAAAATTACTACAACTTTCAAATTAAAATTAAGTTAAAATTTTAAAATCTAATTATATAATAGTACACAACATTATATAATAGGACAAATAATACTGAAATAGCACTGCTACTTACATATTTTTTTGTATTTATATTTTTATGTAGGTGGGCTCCATCCCTGCCAATGCAGTAGATGACGGCCAGTGGTCCCAGGGTCTAATATCAGCTGTAAGTTGTTACAATCAACAATTGTAATTGAAGTGAAGTTCCTTTGACAAGAAGCATCAGCTAAATGACAATTACTCATTTAAATCCTACCCTCTTTTAGGCCCGAATGGTTGCGGCCGCCACTAGTAACCTGTGTGAGGCTGCTAACGCTTCAGTCCAGGGTCACGCCAGCGAGGAGAAGCTCATTTCCTCTGCCAAACAGGTGGCAGCTTCCACCGCTCAGCTGCTGGTGGCCTGTAAAGTCAAAGCGGACCAGGACTCAGAGGCCATGAGGAGATTACAGGTTACAATCACTTGAATAATACAAAATAATATGAGATCTAAGTGAATTATTCAGTTAAAAAAATTGGTTATGTGTTTGCACAGGCTGCTGGTAACGCAGTGAAGAGAGCGTCTGACAACCTGGTGAAGGCAGCGCAGAAAGCAGCCTTTGATAAAGCCGAAGACGACAGCGTGGTGGTTAAAACGAAATTCGTGGGAGGAATCGCTCAGGTGAGATTCTTTCCAGTTTCTGAATATTCCTTGACTTCTGAAGTAATGCTGCTCAATTAAAAAGTGATTTGACATTTGTGGATCTACAAAGCCGTCAGCGGGGTTTGAAAGCTGTGGTTTTGTACCAAGCATCCACAGCTGGCATCTTACACTGGGCTGCTGTATCCACAAACAGCTCATTTTCACGTTTCATCCCAGGCCAAATGCCCATTAATTAAAGACTGCGCATCTGCCTGTTCAAAGCTTCCTTCCTCCCAGAATGCCTTCACGTCTTGTGTTCATCTTGAGAGGGCACTGGAATATTGTGAACATCTGAGAAAGCCCGTTGAGTGGATGGCGTGAGTGTTTGCATGCACCCTTGAATCCTTGCCATTGCCAGCACAACAAAAATAAGCGTTTTGCACCGATTCAGCCCCTCTTCAGAAGGTTAAGCCTTGATCTATCCATCCCATTCCTTAAATCCACAAAATGTTACTCTCTTTGGAAAATAACAAGATGTCTATTGCAGATCCAGGCTCATTTTTTTTCCGGCACAGTTATGCTAAAATTACACATTGCTCTAAAGAATATGAAGATTTTTCTCTCTGTCACTAAGACAGCAGCCGAAGGAAAAACTAATTTCGAAAAAAAACTGGAAGGAAACGCATCCCGTGGCATTTTTCCTTGGCTATAATAAGTAAGCATTATTTATGTATCATTGTACCACAAACAATCTGGCTGTCTTCACCTAAGGAAACTGGTTTTAAACAATCCACAGGACGGATTGGAGATCAGTTTTTAGATCTGAAACTTCAACATTGTCTACAAACATTGGAACTCATTCTTAAAACATGAAAATAAAGAATTTCTGTGTGCATTGTTTAGAAAACAATTCTTACATAAATTGTTGAGTTTATGCTTGAAATGAGCAGAATAAATCTTTGTAAATCGTTCTTGCATTCATCCGCTACTGTTTGCATTCATGCAATGCAAGCGAAACCAATTTGTACAAACCATTCTTGTGTAAATTGCCCTAATGATTTTCTATCAGGCTGCATTTATTTAAGCAAAAGGAAATTGTGGTAATCGTTGGTAAAAACATTATTTTGTAATTTGTTGCATTTGTCACATTTATGCATAAAATCAGCAGAATTCATTTGTTTTAACCATTCTTGCATAAATTGCATTCATCTGCATTTGTTGCATTTATGCAACACAAGCAGCCAAGCCTGTATAACACATTCTTGCATAAATTGCCACAATGATCTGCAGTCATGTTGTATTGATTTGTGCATGAAAAATGCATTTCATAAAACTTTTCCATTACAGTAATTTGTTGCATTCATATCACATTCATGAATGCAACAAGAACAAGTTTCCCATTTTATTCGCATTTGTCGCATTCAGGCAACACAAGTCAAACTAATTTGTGTAAACGGTTTTTAGTACATTTTTGCATTCATGTCACATTAATTCATGAAACATGACCGGAAGTCATTTCTTACGTAAATAGTCATAATCATGATGCATTCATGCATGAAACACAAGCCGAATGAGTTTGTGCAAATCATTTACTGTATGAAACCATGTTTACATTGTTGTTGTATTCATTCCTTCATAATCATTCAGGAAACTTCTGTCGTATTACGCATTCATTTTTGAAACATGAGCAGAATGAATCTGCATGAAATGTTTGTAAATCCATTGTAATGTACGTTTGTGCCTTCTCATGTCATGTCACAGCAGAAGGAATTTTTTTACAAGTTGTTCGTAATTTACACATGAATGGTTAAACAAGAAAGAATTTTCATGAATTCTCGTTTTTCACAAATGTTGCTCATTCAGCGACTAATGGTTTTGCATTATTTCCAGATCATTGCGGCTCAGGAGGAGATGCTAAGAAAAGAAAGGGAGTTAGAAGAAGCCCGGAAGAAACTCGCCCACATCCGACAGCAGCAATACAAGTTCCTGCCCAGCGAACTGCGAGAAGACCAGAGCTGAACACGTCTCGTCTGATTGGACGCGGATCATGATTGTTACGGATGATTGGCTGCTCCTTATATGCAGAGCTAGAGATGTCACACGTCATTGGTTGGTCATTGTCAGGTGACTTGTTAAAGTTAAATGTGATTGGCTCACATGGGATAAGCGCCACTGATTGGCTGTATTTTGGGTATGAATGGATTTCCTTTCTTGTTTTTGTTCTTGTTTTTTTTAAGGTGTAAAGCACTTGTTAGAGGTTTGCGTGACTGTGTGTTTTACGTATCAATAGTATGCCACTCATTGGCGATAGCTTACCATAAGGATCTCAATAACTAATCCTACGCAATATCAGTGCATCTAGTTTTATAATGAAACCAATGTGAAACTATTAATATCTGAACCTGGCTGCCAGACAAATTTTAGTTATGAAGTATGATGCCAGACCGTAAGCTTTCATTATTCGCACTCGCGTGACGATAAGCTTCAAACGCCTCTAGAATGCACTGCTCGATTCATACATATCCCCCTCTAGAACTGTATTATTGTTAGTAAGGTTATGAATTCTAGGTAGTTATAAGGAAAGAATGTACTGGTGCGCTTTGTCGTGTTATTTATTGTTAGCTTTAATAGAGTAGCTTCCAGCTTCTCTTTGCGTTTGTAGGTCTAGTTGGGGGCTCGAATGAGGTTGATTCATGCAAATAGAGTTTCATTCAGTCCTCTCTTCATACCTCAGCTGTGGCCCAGATTGTTACATTTCCCATGATTCCTCTGTGTGTCTAAACTTAGTCAGGTAGACAGCCCAAACACGACGGATATGTTCGGAATAACATGCTATCACACTACTCATACTATTTCTGCAGCATACTTTCAGTATGCAGATTTTCTGCATTAGAATAATCAGATGACATTCTGTATCCCACAATGCAATGCCAATTTTTCATTTCTGTTTTATGAATGAACAAAATGTAATACTAGCCTCAATTTTTGGCTGGCATACTAACCAAGTAATAGCCTTTTCAACAAAAAAATTGGATAAAAATGCAAAAAAATATATATATATTATAGGAAACGACATTATACGTAGGAATGTTATATCCCACAATGCATTGTGCTTCTTTTTTTCCAGTGTAATGAATGAACAAGAAGTAATACCAGCTTCAATTTTGGCTGATTTAAAATCGCCATACTACATACGTATATTTTATATGCGTCAAAATTTTCGAAGCCTTTTCTATAAAATTTGGATAAAAATGTGAAACAAAAAAGGGGGAAAATTTCTAAGACGTGCATAATAATAATAAATAATAATAAGGTCATGTTTCAACAATATAACACACTACACTACATTGCACAGTATGCGAATTGTCTGTATTGAAATAACCAGCTGACCTACTATTTTTGCCAAAATATGCAGTATGGAGAAACAGTACTCTGTGTGGAACACTATATCCCACAATGCAGTGCGCTCAAATTCATTTTTAATACTGTAGCATGCTACATATCTTTTTATTTGTGGCAAAATGTTCACATTTTTGGCACAAAATTGGATACAAATCCGAAAAACCTTTTGAAAACGATCTGAATTAAATGTGCGTAATAATGAGGTCATGTGTCAACAATTACTGTTTGCTTACTGCGCACTATTTAACATGCTATTTTTTAAATAGTAGACAGTAAACAGTGCTATTTTAAGTATTGAATAAACGCAATGCTGGCATTTCATTCCGAACATAACCTGCGTCTAGAGCTGCGTAAGAAGAAAAACTTTACGCAAAATGCGGCAAACAAACTACGTGGTGAGGTCATGTGACGACAATGTAGCATACTTACCGTTTGAAATGTTTATCAGTAAAGCGTAATAATCCAGACTGTTTCACATACTGTTTTTAAAACAATAGTAAGCATTATACAGTATATACTGTGCAGTATGCAGTACGCAGAGCGCTAGTATTCCATTCTGAACGCAGCCAGAATCTCAGTGTTGTACTTTCTAATATCACAGTTCTCATAAAACGCATTCGCTTGCATTTCTGGTCTACTTTGAGATTGTACTGGCATGGCTTTTAGGAGCACAGCAGGAAGCGCCACATCAGTAGCTTTGTTGGATTCAGTGGCGTCAGTGTAGTCTTACCTGCAAATAACACGTCTCTTCTGCTTATCGTGTACTTCGTGTGTGTTTTTGGTTTGAAAATCCCAGTGGAATTCCCGTTTGCGTTGTGTAGAATAACGTGTGGCACTTAACAAGCTGAGAACTGACTGTTGTGACTTCAGATCTGGACTGCATTGTGTCATAGTGCCTTATTCTGACTTCTTCAGTAGCTCAGTGTGTGCAAGTTGCTCTTAAATGCTGCTTGTGGACCAGGTTTCACTGGAATTTAATGTCTATCGATACTGAGCAAGTATAAACATCGTCCGTCTTCAGATGAGTAAAGCAGATGTCTTTTGTCCTTTTCAAACTAGCTTTGGATGTGTACAGCGTTGTTTCCAGTCTAACCCGCCGCGTTTGATGACTAAATCTGACGTCCATTGGGCGGCTATTTGATTCTGGTTTGCAATATTGTACCTACTGAAGCCTAAAGATGCACTTGCCTTGGCAGGCCGCTATACTGCCGTACCATGAACTATTTAGACAAAGTTAACAAACCACGAGTAGGAAAAGGAAGGATGTGATTGTTTCTGTCAGCACTGACTGCTTTCAGCTTGTCCACGTGAAGAAGAATATTAGAATGTCCCAAAAAAAGAACAAGGTTATCTTGCTTTTCATTTCAATAAACCACTATGTATGACGTTTAGTTTTTTTGTGTACTTCGAGTTATAGCTATAATGAAGATATTGCAATATGTGGTTGAACATGTGGTGTCTTTCAGTGGAGCCGAAGAAAGCAGCAAGAACTATCGCCTTCTTTTGAACTAGAGTTAGGGCTGTCTTTAATCAACTGACATAGTGACATTAATAATGATAATAATAATAATGAACATTAAAATGCTGTATGTATAATATTTATCTGGTCACGAAAGTATTTTTTGTATTGCCCTGAAAATAAAGAGTTTCAACAAAGTATGATTTGTGAAAGCATTTTTTGGGGGTAGCTGAGGGTTGATAATTACATGGTGTTAATTAGACAGGATTTGGTTATTATAATAGTACATTTTTAAGCAATAAATGGGTAACATTACTATAGTAATAACAGAAAATTGTGCATAAGTGCAAGCAACTATCCCTGAACCAAATCCTAACCTTAATTATATAGTAAATGTTAATTAATAATTATTAATATTAGTCAGTAATTAGTTGTATAATAATTACACTGTAATGAGAGCACGTGCAACAAGTGTGTGTGTGTGTGTGTGTGCGTGTGTGTGTGCGTGTGTGCATGCATGTGTGTGTGTAATATTCAATTGTATTTATTTTTTAAATATATATTTTTAATTAATTATTAAAGGGTTTTAATGAACTGTGAAAAAAATACTGTTTACATTTTATCTTGAAAAATAATTTTGTAGAATTATAATTTTTATCATTATTATTATTATTATTTGTGTTTGTATGTATTTTTCAAAATAAAATGTCCCTTATGAAAATTAGCCATGGTTTTATTAGTAAAAGTGTAGTGTTTTTTTGGCGTATTGATTACCATTTGAATAACCACAGTTTTACTACAAATACCATGGTTAAACTATGGTTAAGTGTAGCAAAAACATGCTTAATTTGCGGTTACTGTGGTTTAACTATAGTAACCATGTTACCTGTGTTTCTTTTTGTAATAGTAGTAGTAAAAACATGGTTACCAGCCCACATGAAAAAGTACTGTAGTAATTTATAGTAAATACTATAGTGTTTTTGAACCATAAAGTGTATTATTCTGTATATATTATAGTATTTACAACACTTTGTTAATGAATGCTAACTGTAGTGTTAACTATAGTGAACTGATAAACTAGTATATATTACCACAGCAACTATAGAATTACCACATCAAATTAATTCAAGTACTTTACTATAGTATTTTTTCATATGGGGGTATTTTTTTACATTTACTTTTAGTCATTTAGCAGACGCTTTTATCCAAAGCGACTTACAAATGAGGACGATAAAAGAAAATATTAAAAAATCAAAATAAAATAAAAAATCAAAATTCTTTTTTTATTATTATAATTATTTATATTTTTATAATTATTTCACAGTGTAAATGGATATGTTAAATTAATAATAATAAATGAATAACTGTCTTTTTTTATCATAGATCTTTTTTTTTTTGTATATCTACCAGAAATGTACCTTTAAATTTGCCATAAATTAGACTAAATACATTTCTTTAAAAAAAAAAAAGACCAAACAATTATTTATTTAAATATTATATATATCTCCTGTTGCTCCAGTTTTTGTCTAGTCTTGGTATAGAGCAGCTGTGGTAAGTTAGACATGCATCTACAAGTGTGTGTGTGTGTGTGTGTGTGTGTGTGTGTGTGTGTGTGTGTGTGTGTGTGTGTGTGTGTGTGTATTTTTGCTGAGATTCTTCACTGAAGCAGAGCAGACTAAATCTGTCCTTTTCTCTGACATAATTATATCCAAGTACACACTAAACCAAGCAAACGCTCTCAGTGTTTTTACGACCATTATAAACATTTAGGCACAGAAATGTGTTCACGTGCTTTCACTTACATTTTCTGCATTTTAATCTCATAAATATCCGTGCAGCATAGTTTCTAACGGCGGAGTAAAGGCGTTGTGACGCATTCTCTCCAGCAGGTGGCGCTGGTACTTCATGTGTTGTGGTCATTCTGGGGATTATATTGTGGATGGCTAAATTACAGTCTGTGTGACCAAAAAAGGACATGTGGCAGCTTTTGCTTCGTCTCCCGACAGCGAACTATAAGAACAGCATGTTCGACCCAAATGGGAGAGTAAAAAGAGGGTTAATAAAAAACTGCTGATATGAGGTGAGACAGAAACATGGTATTCTGTCAGTATCCATTAGATACCATATTCTAGATATTAAAGCCAGACAGAGGAAGTCCAGCAGACTAGAGTAAAGCTTATCTAATGAACACCATATTAGGCTGCCAAAGTGTGTTGAATGAGTCCAGCCTACTAAGAAAGAAAAAATAGTGGAGCCATTCAGTCTAGAAAATACACAGCATGCTGTAATAGTAGGGATGTTTTGGGTTTTGGCTCAGATTGGGTCAACTCTTTTCCTCCACTACATAAATCTGAATGTTCACTAAATATTATTGTTCTCATACTGTAACTATTATCGGGAGCTCAGCTGAGGTCCGTGGAGCGGCGCTGCTGTTAAAGTCCGATCTGAGGCATGATGGGAGACCTTGGAACCCTGTGTGGACTGGTATGGTTACTGGAAAACCCCACATTCACACATGCAGCAAGATCAGACTGTATAAAGTACTATTTAAAGGGATAGTTCGCCTAGTTTACTCACCCTCAAGCCCAAACCTTTATGACTGACCTTGTTCTGCAGAAATGGGTTTCTGCCTCTTTAAGCCACTGTAAAACCAATATTTGTTGATGCGGAATATGAATATTGGGTGGACACGTGCCTTTATGATGTTTATCAATGTTTATAATGAACCAAGCTTTTCACAAGATATTATTGATGTACTGGAGTGGTGTGGATTATTGTGATGTTTTTATCAGCTGTTTGGACTCTCATTCTGACGGCACCCATTCACTGCAGAGGATCCTTTGGTGTGCAAGTGATGTACTGCTACGTTTCTCCAAATCTTTTCTGATGAAGAAACAAACTCATCTACATCTTGGATGGCCTGATAGTGAGAGAATTTTTAGCTCATTTTAATTTCTGGGTGAACTATTCTTTGACAGATTGTAAAAATATATGCAGTCCGTCATTGTTGATGTGCTAATATTGTGTGCTAATATTCAACTGTATGAGCAGCACATGCCGTACTGTCGGTTTCCTGTCAGCTGGACACATTTTTGTGAAATTAGAGGCTTTGTTTGGATTGCTGTATTCGTACCACAGGAATGACGCTGGTATTGTGCGGGCAGTGGTCACATTTCTGTCTGATATGCTTTGAGGATTTATGACTCATGAAGCTGCTAATATTTGAAGTTTTGTAATATTTGTTGAGCAAAAATGCTCTTCTCAGAGATTCTTACACACAGGACTTTTTATTTTTACACATCTGGTTCTTGAGTTGATTAAGAAATGATGTGTGTGTGTGTGTGTGTGTGCGCGCGTGTGTTTTTGTGACAAATGAGGACATAAATTTGTATAATGACAAGTATATGACATTACAAGGAGAAGGTGACTTTTCAGGACATTACCCCATGTCCCCACTTTTCAAAACGCTTATAAATCACACAGAATGGAGTGTATTGAAAATCTGAAATAGCACACAGTTTCCTGTGAGGGGTAGGTTTTGGTGTAGGGCAATAGCACATACAGTTTGTACAGTATAAAAACCATTACGCCTATGGGATGTCCCCACTTTTCACAAAAGCAAACCTGTGTGTGTGTGTGTGTGTGTGTGTGTGCATGTTTATGTGGTTTATGAGGACACAAATTTGTATAATAACATGGGTATGACATAGGTATTACAACGAGAAGGTGATTTATGAGGACATTTTCAGTGTCCCCGTAATTCAAAAGGCTTATAAATAATTCAGAATGAGTTTTTTTGAAAATCTAAAAATGCAGAAAGTTTCCTGTAAGGGGTAGGGTTGGTGTAGGGCAATAGAAAATACGGTTTGTACAGTATAAAAACCATTACGCCTATGGAGACTCCCCATAAACCATAAAAACAAACCTGTGTGTGTGTGTGTGTGTGTGTGTGTGTGAATTCCACAGAGTTGGACATGTGAAGATCAGCCATCTGCTCTGAGGACTTCAGGTATTCATGATAACTGAAGTGCACGGCAGTTTTATTTTCCAGTGATCTTAACATCACATCAGGCCTGAAGTGGAATTCTTCCCAAAGAAGAAAAGGGCAAAATAAGGGGAAACATTGTTGTCACAGCTGTTTGACTAATTTTAAGCAACGCTCTTGCCTAGGAATGAAAAGCAGCTCACATTTGTTTGCTTTGCCGTGTTTCCATTGTTAATGAATTTCTGTACGTTAACACTGCTCTCAGTGCCTTCAAATCTGACACTTCGTCTGCCAAAATATGTTTTGTGAAAATTGAATTGGCTACACATCAGGGTTATTGTAGTTAACTAAAACCATTAAAAATAAATAAATAAAATACAATTTCATTACTTTTAAAGAACTAAAACGGCAATAAAAGTAATTAAATCTATATGGACATATTTTTACAAAATGACAAAAACACAGAACCAAATTACTAAAATGTTGACTTAAATTAAAATGAAAGCGGAAAATATAAAAATGAGCTTAATTCAAAATGTCAATAAAAACTATAATAGTACCTTAATGATATTAAAATAACACTGCAACACATACAGGCTGTGGAATTGGAATGACGTAGAAGAAAGTACTTTACTGCACACAATCAAAAGGTTTTACAACAAAACAAATAATTACATCATTCATTTGGAAGGAATTTGATGTATGATTTATTTCCTGAAATGTTGAATGTTTTATATGACAAACTATTGTTATGACTAAAATCAAAAATTGTATTATGACAAAATATCCGCTTATAAAAAAATGTATATGGACAATATTTTTATTTAGTCATGTATTTGGTCAATTATAATGAAATTAGATACAAAATTGCCATAAAAATAAAATATTATAAACTAAAAATATAATTAAATTAAATATATATTTATTAGCGCTGTCAAATCATTAATCGTGATTCATCACATCCAAAATAAAAGTTTTTGTTTACATTATATATGTATGTGTACTGTGTATATTTATTATGTATATATAAATACACACACATACAGTATATATATTTAAAATATTTACGTTTATACATTTATATATTCATATACTTATGTTATATTGTATATAAATATATTTCATATATAAACATAACATATTTTCTTAAATATATACATGCATGTGTGTGTATTTATATATACCTAATAAATTTACACAGTA